AGACACACACTCTCTACACACACCCTCTACACACACACACAGACATACACCCTCTACACACACAGACACACACCCTCTACACACACACAGACACACACCCTCTACACACACACAGACACACACTCTCTACACACACACAGACACACACTCTCTACACACACACAAACACACCCTCTACACACACACAGACACACACACAGACACACACCCTCTACACACACACAGACACACACACAGACACACATCCTCTACACACACACAGACACACACCCTCTACACACACACAGACACACACCCTCTACACACACACAAACACACCCTCTACACACACACAGACACACACTCTCTACACACACACAGACACACACTCTCTACACACACACAAACACACCCTCTACACACCCTCTACACACACACAGACACACACCCTCTACACACACACAGACACACACCCTCTACACACACACAGACACACACACAGACACACATCCTCTACACACACACAGACACACACCCTCTACACACACACAGACACACACCCTCTACACACACACAGACACACACTCTCTACACACACACAGACACACACCCTCTACACACACTCTCTACACACACTCTCTACACACACACAGACACACACACAGACACACACCCTCTACACACACACAAACACACCCTCTACACACCCTCTACACACACACAGACACACACTCTCTACACACACACAAACACACCCTCTACACACAGACACACACTCTCTGCACACACACCCTCTACACACACACAGACACACACCCTCTACACACACACAGACACACACCCTCTACACACACACAGACACACACTCTCTACACACACACACCCTCTACACACACACAGACACACACTCTCTACACACACACACAGACACACACCCTCTACACACACACAGATACACACTCTCTACACACACCCTCTACACACACAGACACACACCCTCTACACACACACAGACACACACTCTCTACACACACACAGACACACACCCTCTACACACACACAGACACACACCCTCTACACACACACAGACACACACCCTCTACACACACACAGACACACACCCTCTACACACACTCTCTACACACACAGACACACACTCTCTACACACACACAGACACACACCCTCTACACAACCTCTACACACACACAGACGCACACCCTCTACACACACCCTCTACACACACACACAGACACACACTCTCTACACACACACAGACACACACCCTCTAAACACACACACAGACACACACTCTCTACACACACCCTCTACACACACACACAGACACACACTCTCTACACACACCCTCTACACACACACACAGACACACACTCTACACACACCCTCTACACACACACACAGACACACACTCTCTACACACACACAGACACACACTCTCTACACACACACACACAGACACACACTCTCTACACACACCCTCTACACACACACAGACACACACTCTCTACACACACCCTATACACACACACAGACACACACTCTCTACACACACTCTCTACACACACACAGACACACACTCTCTACACACACCCTCTACACACACACAGACACACACCCTCTACACACACACAGACACACACTCTCTACACACACACACAGACACACACACAGACACACACTCTCTACACACACACAGACACACACTCTACACACACACACCCTCTACACACACACAGACACACACTCTCTACACACACACACAGACACACACTCTCTACACACACACACCCTCTACACACACACAGACACACACTCTCTACACACACACAGACACACACTCTCTACACACACACACCCTCTACACACACACAGACACACACTCTCTACACACACACACAGACACACACTCTCTACCTGTAAATGGGTCCAAACGTGTTGAAGTTCTGGACCATGATGCGGTGCAGGTTTTTGAATCCGTCTTGTTTCCAGAAGTTGTAGAGATTTGCCACAGAGTTCTTCCACAAACCTGGGATCTCAGAGAAGGGCCGCACCACACTGCTCTCTGTGTGCTGCACCACACTGCTGCTGTGGCGGGCTCCCAGGGGCCCCTCCCTCACACAGCGACACACTCTCCAGTGAGACATGGTCAGGAGTGAGAGCAGCGGCTGTGATCAGGGACATGAGGAGGAGGAGGACGTCCCACTGAGTCAAGGCAACACACCGCTCTGAAGTCACACTTTTATTATCACACATTTATGAAGACAATCCTCTGATAAACTACATTAAAGCTTTCACAATCCACACATTCATAAATTAAAAACTAAAACATTGAAATGCATTATTTCCGCAGCAGCTGAATAAGTTCCTCCAGCTTCATGGCCGTCTTCACGTCTCCCTGAACCCGGAGTCTGCCGCTGCTGAAGGCGGAGAACGGCCTCAACGTCCCCTCGAACAGAGACAGAAGGTCAGAGTCGGACACGCTCAGAGTCACGTCTGGGTCTGGGGCGGCGCCGGGGCCTGCGGTGCCACTGCCTGCAACACAACAGCACACACAACAGTTACACACAACAGTTACACAAAACATTCACACACAACAACAGTCACAGACAACAGTCACACACAACAGCACACACAACAACAGTCACACACCACAGTCACACACAACAGTCACACACAACAACAGTCACACACAACAACAGTCACACACAACAGTCACACACAACAACAGTCACACACAACAGTCACACACAACAACAGTCACACACAACAGTCACACACAACAACAGTCACACACAACAGTCACACACAACAGTCACACACAACAACAGTCACACACAACAGTCACACACAACAGTCACACACAACAACAGTCACACACAACAGTCACACACAACAACAGTCACACACAACAGTCACACACAACAACAGTCACACACCACAGTCACACACAACAGTCACACACAACAGTCACACACAACAACAGTCACACACAACAACAGTCACACACAACAGTCACACACAACAGTCACACACAACAACAGTCACACACCACAGTCACACACAACAGTCACACACAACAGTCACACACAACAACAGTCACACACAACAACAGTCACACACAACAGTCACACACAACAACAGTCACACACAACAGTCACACACAACAGTCACACACAACAGTCACACACAACAGTCACACACAACAGTCACACACAACAACAGTCACACACAACAGTCACACACAACAACAGTCACACACAACAGTCACACACAACAGTCACACACAACAGTCACACACAACAACAGTCACACACAACAGTCACACACAACAACAGTCACACACAACAGTCACACACAACAACAGTCACACACAACAGTCACACACAACAGTCCTACTGTAGGTTACAGTCAGACCTTGTCTCAGATCCACAAAGTAGCTCTGCTGCTGATGGTTCTCAGAACTGATGTGGAACTGGAAACAGGCCTGAACCCGGTTCACCAGACTCTCTGACAGCAGCAGCTTGACTGCACCGAGCAGCTCCTGCACCGACCGAGGAGAAGGAGGCGACTGAGGAGAAGGAGGCAACTGAGGAGAAGGAGGCGACTGAGGAGAAGGAGGCGTCCTGAGCTCGTCCATCACTGTCAGACTGCACTCTGAACACACAGACTCAGGTCAGTCAGCTGCAGCTTCACTGTGACTGAACAAACCTAAACACACCTGGTTTATTCTGAGGCAGGTTCTGACTGAGGAACTGCAGAGCCAACTGCTGCAGGGGGCCAGGGAGACCCTCCAGTCCGGGGAGTGATGGAGGCATAATGAGAGGGGCCTGAGGGGCCTCCTCAGTGTTTAGTGAGGAGCCAAACACAAGTTCCACACGGTCAACCTCGAGGCCCCAGGGTTTGGTCATGTCGTTTATGTCCATCTTTAACAGAACAGGTACATGGTGATGAGAGGAACCATCTGACATTAGGAACGCATATAGCCCTTTTCCACAGCAACGGTACGGTATGGCACGGTACGGTATGGCCTCCTCATCTGGACCTGGTCTGGACCTGGTCTGGACCTGGTTTCAGACGTACTTTGGACTTTGTAAACTGTTGGTTTTACACTTTACTTTTTAATAAATCGGTGATTGTATCAAGAATTTGTTTCATTAATTTGTCTGTACACGTGCAGAAAAGGGGTTCAAAAGTTCCTACCATGGTACCTACCATATACTTACGTACTTTTACTACTTACATTATATTTGTCAGTAAATTCGTAGAACCTTGTTCAATTTATGAACCAGGATGGAGACATTTGGTACAAAAAGGTTTTATTTTTGGTCAAAATAAATGTTTTGACCAAAGTGACGCATTGGATAGCTCTCCTCCTCTGCTACACAGCTGCTGTTGCTACAGGTGTGTCCCATTCTGTCACAGCTGCTGTTGCTACAGGTGTGTCCCATTCTGTCACAGCTGCTGTTGCTACAGGTGTGTCCCATTCTGTCACAGCTGCTGTTGCTACAGGTGTGTCCCATTCTGTCACAGCTGCTGTTGCTACAGGTGTGTCCCATTCTGTCACAGCTGCTGTTGCTACAGGTGTGTCCCATTCTGTCACAGCTGCTGTTGCTACAGGTGTGTCCCATTCTGTCACAGCTGCTGTTGCTACAGGTGTGTCCCATTCTGTCACAGCTGCTGTTGCTACAGGTGTGTCCCATTCTGTCACAGCTGCTGTTGCTACAGGTGTGTCCCATTCTGTCACAGCTGCTGTTGCTACAGGTGTGTCCCATTCTGTCACAGCTGCTGTTGCTACAGGTGTGTCCCATTCTGTCACAGCTGCTGTTGCTACAGGTGTGTCCCATTCTGTCACAGCTGCTGTTGCTACAGGTGTGTCCCATTCTGTCACAGCTGCTGTTGCTACAGGTGTGTCCCATTCTGTCACAGCTGCTGTTGCTACAGGTGTGTCCCATTCTGTCACAGCTGCTGTTGCTACAGGTGTGTCCCATTCTGTCACAGCTGCTGTTGCTACAGGTGTGTCCCATTCTGTCACAGCTGCTGTTGCTACAGGTGTGTCCCATTCTGTCACAGCTGCTGTTGCTACAGGTGTGTCCCATTCTGTCACATCCATGGTTTTCACAGATGGTACAGAGCACAGTCAGCACCATTGACGTCACATGTTCTGTGTCCGAGTCATTCCTTTAACACTGATGAAACCCTTTTCAACAACCACTCACGCTGTGCTGAATTTTCTATTAAATACTTGCTGTTAGTCTGTCACTCTGTGTCCTGAAAAGGTTTAAGGATTCAGTTCTGCAGAGTCCCCTCGGAGGTAATAACAGCTATCACTGATATTATAATGTTACTAGTCACACGTCACACGTAAATGACGTGGTCTGACAACGCGGGCGTGTCGTAACCTGTGGTGCCTGATACTGTGGAAAAGCGGCAATAGACTCACCCCCAGGTACTCCCCCAGTTTGACTCACCCCCAGGTACTCCCCCATTTTGACTCACCCCCAGGTACTCTCCCAGTTTGACTCACCCCCAGGTACTCCCCCAGTTTGACTCACCCCCAGGTACTCCCCCAGTTTGACTCACCCCCAGGTACTCTCCCAGTTTGACTCACCCCCAGGTACTCCCCCAGTTTGACTCACCCCCAGGTACTCTCCCAGTTTGACTCACCCCCAGGTACTCCCCCAGTTTGACTCACCCCCAGGTACTCCCCCCAGTTTGACTCACCCCCAGGTACTCCCCCAGTTTGACTCACCCCCAGGTACTCTCCCAGTTTGACTCACCCCCAGGTACTCCCCCAGTTTGACTCACCCCCAGGTACTCCCCCAGTTTGACTCACCCCCAGGTACTCTCCCAGTTTGACTCACCCCCAGGTACTCCCCCAGTTTGACTCACCCCCAGGTACTCCCCCAGTTTGACTCACCCCCAGGTACTCCCCCAGTTTGACTCACCCCCAGGTACTCTCCCAGTTTGACTCACCCCCAGGTACTCCCCCAGTTTGACTCACCCCCAGGTACTCCCCCAGTTTGACTCACCCCCAGGTACTCCCCCAGTTTGACTCACCCCCAGGTACTCCCCCAGTTTGACTCACCCCCAGGTACTCCCCCAGTTTGACTCACCCCCAGGTACTCTCCCAGTTTGACTCACCCCCAGGTACTCTCCCAGTTTGACTCACCCCCAGGTACTCTCCCAGTTTGACTCACCCCCAGGTACTCTCCCAGTTTGACTCACCCCCAGGTACTCCCCCTTTGACTCACCCCCAGGTACTCCCCCAGTTTGACTCACCCCCAGGTACTCCCCCAGTTTGACTCACCCCCAGGTACTCCCCCAGTTTGACTCACCCCCAGGTACTCCCCCAGTTTGACTCACCCCCAGGTACTCTCCCAGTTTGACTCACCCCCAGGTACTCCCCCAGTTTGACTCACCCCCAGGTACTCCCCCAGTTTGACTCACCCCCAGGTACTCCCCCAGTTTGACTCACCCCCAGGTACTCCCCCAGTTTGACTCACCCCCAGGTACTCCCCCAGTTTGACTCACCCCCAGGTACTCCCCCAGTTTGACTCACCCCCAGGTACTCCCCCAGTTTGACTCACCCCCAGGTACTCCCCCAGTTTGACTCACCCCCAGGTACTCCCCCAGTTTGACTCACCCCCAGGTACTCTCCCAGTTTGACTCACCCCCAGGTACTCCCCCAGTTTGACTCACCCCCAGGTACTCCCCCAGTTTGACTCACCCCCAGGTACTCCCCCAGTTTGACTCACCCCCAGGTACTCCCCCAGTTTGACTCACCCCCAGGTACTCTCCCAGTTTGACTCACCCCCAGGTACTCCCCCAGTTTGACTCACCCCCAGGTACTCCCCCAGTTTGACTCACCCCCAGGTACTCCCCCAGTTTGACTCACCCCCAGGTACTCCCCCAGTTTGACTCACCCCCAGGTACTCCCCCAGTTTGACTCACCCCCAGGTACTCCCCCAGTTTGACTCACCCCCAGGTACTCCCCCAGTTTGACTCACCCCCAGGTACTCTCCCAGTTTGACTCACCCCCAGGTACTCCCCCAGTTTGACTCACCCCCAGGTACTCCCCCAGTTTGACTCACCCCCAGGTACTCCCCCAGTTTGACTCACCCCCAGGTACTCCCCCAGTTTGACTCACCCCCAGGTACTCCCCCAGTTTGACTCACCCCCAGGTACTCCCCCAGTTTGACTCACCCCCAGGTACTCCCCCAGTTTGACTCACCCCCAGGTACTCCCCCAGTTTGACTCACCCCCAGGTACTCCCCCAGTTTGACTCACCCCCAGGTACTCTCCCAGTTTGACTCACCCCCAGGTACTCCCCCAGTTTGACTCACCCCCAGGTACTCCCCCAGTTTGACTCACCCCCAGGTACTCCCCCAGTTTGACTCACCCCCAGGTACTCCCCCAGTTTGACTCACCCCCAGGTACTCTCCCAGTTTGACTCACCCCCAGGTACTCCCCCAGTTTGACTCACCCCCAGGTACTCCCCCAGTTTGACTCACCCCCAGGTACTCCCCCAGTTTGACTCACCCCCAGGTACTCCCCCAGTTTGACTCACCCCCAGGTACTCCCCCAGTTTGACTCACCCCCAGGTACTCCCCCAGTTTGACTCACCCCCAGGTACTCCCCCAGTTTGACTCACCCCCAGGTACTCCCCCAGTTTGACTCACCCCCAGGTACTCTCCCAGTTTGACTCACCCCCAGGTACTCCCCCAGTTTGACTCACCCCCAGGTACTCCCCCAGTTTGACTCACCCCCAGGTACTCCCCCAGTTTGACTCACCCCCAGGTACTCTCCCAGTTTGACTCACCCCCAGGTACTCTCCCAGTTTGACTCACCCCCAGGTACTCTCCCAGTTTGACTCACCCCCAGGTACTCTCCCAGTTTGACTCACCCCCAGGTACTCCCCCAGTTTGACTCACCCCCAGGTACTCCCCCAGTTTGACTCACCCCCAGGTACTCCCCCAGTTTGACTCACCCCCAGGTACTCCCCCAGTTTGACTCACCCCCAGGTACTCCCCCAGTTTGACTCACCCCCAGGTACTCCCCCAGTTTGACTCACCCCCAGGTACTCTCCCAGTTTGACTCACCCCCAGGTACTCCCCCAGTTTGACTCACCCCCAGGTACTCCCCCAGTTTGACTCACCCCCAGGTACTCCCCCAGTTTGACTCACCCCCAGGTACTCCCCCAGTTTGACTCACCCCCAGGTACTCCCCCAGTTTGACTCACCCCCAGGTACTCCCCCAGTTTGACTCACCCCCAGGTACTCCCCCAGTTTGACTCACCCCCAGGTACTCCCCCAGTTTGACTCACCCCCAGGTACTCCCCCAGTTTGACCCTCTCACACTGGATCTCTCGCAGCGTCCTCTTGGAGAGACTGTAGCTCAGGGCTTTGTGGGCCGTCATCCGTGTGGAGGCGTTCAGGTCCTGCACCGCGACCACAGACAGCACCGGGTTCCAGATCCTGAACTGGATATCAGCGCCCACCTGCAGCAGACCTCCATCTAAGGTCCGCACCTGAGAAACACAGGGATCTCTCACCACCAGATACAGCTGCAGTACATTCACAACACTGCAGCTCGAGTCCGGACCAGAACCAGGAAGTACCATCACCATCACATTAGTCCTGACGAGAACCAGGAAGTACCATCACATTAGTCCTGACGAGAACCAGGAAGTACCATCACATTAGTCCTGACTAGAACCAGGAAGTACCATCACATTAGTCCTGACTAGAACCAGGAAGTACCATCACATTAGTCCTGACTAGAACCAGGAAGTACCATCACATTAGTGAGGTCAGGTTTGTCCACAGGGAGATGGTACCTGACAAGGCGGGGTGTTGAAGGCCCGTGTGCGGAGGTCCACTCTCTGCCATTGGTCGATGAGAGGCAGCACCAGGACCACTCCAGGACCTTTGGGAGCACAGACCCGACCCAGACGAAACACCACCATCTTCTCATAGTTTGGAACCGTCTGTGAGGAAAGAAAACAGTGTCATTTGATGGTAATATACTTCTTAAACAAAATACAACAAAGAATAAGCCTGACTTTACCTTAAGCACAAACCATCCGGACACAGGAAAGGTTATGAAGGTTACAATTGTTACCAGAAACGTGACGACGAGATGACACGTCCACGAGAGCCAGCCCTGGGACACATCTGAAGAGAGTAAGTAAGTAAGTAGTAAGTAAGTTTTTATTTATATACCGCCTTTTCACTGCAGATCTGAGTCTCAAAGCGGTTTACAATTATTAATTTTGGGCACTTGTCTCTCACTCCACACAGAGATGGGAGCGGGGCCAGTACAGGAGGCACATGCCAGACCTATTGTACATATTTTTAGTGGTAGGGGAAACCGGAGTACCCGGAGGAAACCTACGCAGACACGGGGAGAACATGCAAACTCCACTCAGAAAGGCCCTGGTCCGACCGGGATTCGAACCCAGGACCTTCTTGCTGAGAGGCGAGAGTGCTATCCACTCAGCCACCGTGTCCATAAACGTCTAAATTGTATTGATAAGCACGAAAATCTCAAGTCGTCTTTAAAAAAATAGACAATAGACACAATAATATAACCATTATAATTATACCCATTATAATGGGTTCCTCTCTATCACTAGTTGTCACATTTTTTGACCTCTGTGTGGTCAGACCTGCATGTGAAAGCCTGATCCTGGTTAGTGCTGTGATGGGAGACCTCTGGGAACAGCAGGTGCCACAGTGGGGCGACTGTAAAGTGCCAAACTGTGGCTGTGTCCTTAGGCAAGACACTTCCCCCACATTAGAATGAGTCTGGTGTGTGTGTGAATGGTTGGTGGTGGCACAGACTGGTTGTCTCGCTTCTGTCAGTGTGCCCCAGGGCAGCTGTGGCTACAGTAGTAGTTTATAACCACTGTGTTTAAAGTGAATGAATAATCATGTGAAACGTCTTTGAGTGTCTAGAAATGCCCTGTGTAAAACCCATGCATTATTATTATTATTACCTCAGGAACACCTCACTCAGCAAATCAGCTCCGAGCCCAAAGCGTCACATAGAGACTCACAAGGGTCTTTAATATAAGTTTGGAAAATATAACCTGTTTTCTCATAATATACACTTTACCTTTAGACTCGAACAACAGATACATGTATAATTTATTAAACAAAAGTAAGGTACGGATGAAGTGTTCAGATGTGACAGCAGCAGCTAAAACACATGTTAATGTAGTTTATTCATCACCAGTGAAGTCGTTCTGAGAGACTTTGGGGACGAAGTCCAGGGACAGTCCTCCGTGATGGTCGGACCACAGCCCGGGGCAGTCCCTCTGCGGCAGCTGCTGGTACCGAAACATCTCCTTCAGACTCTGTCAGACTCTCTCAGATCATGTTTCACACATTTCTGTTTGGATGAAAGTGTAAACAACAAACCGGAGGTACTTCCGGGTTTGTCTCCTGTTCCGCTATTTTCTTGCGTGCTCAGTCCTCCCTCTGCTGGCGGGTGTGGGTACTGCAGCCACTGTGGCCCCGTTTCCACCAGCTCTACTCTACTCTACTCTACTCTACTCTACTCTACTCTGCTCTGCTCTGCTCTGCTCTGCTCTGCTCGACTCTGCTCTGCTCTGCTCTGCTCGACTCTGCTCTGCTCTGCTCTGCTCTACTCTACTCTACTCTACTCTACTCTACTCTACTCTACTCTACTCTACTCTACTCTACACAACACAAGCATTTATCAGATTTCCTGCTTATAACTGTTAACTTGCGTCATATGACAAAATATTTTGAGACGTTTTTTTTTTTTTTTTTAAGAAAAATCTTCACACCAACAACAGCTTTGTTATGTAGCTAGTTTTATTGCCAAGTTATCTGCAAAAACGTCAATGTCAGATTTATTTATATAGCACATTTATAACACCAGCTGCCAAAATCACTCCACATGCAAGAGACAAAAATAAATACACACAAATACATGTAAAATATAAAAATTACAACAGGATGTGGCTGAAAATTGTAATCGCCATCAACAATTTTCTTTAAATGTTTCATTTTCAATTACGTTGTAAAGAGGACCCATTGCATTACATCATCAAACCGTTCACAAGAAATGCAATGATAAGAAACATAGAGAGCCATTGGTCCATAATCGTTGATAAAGTCCATAAATGTTAAGTCTGAAGTATTAGTTTTTGAACATGTCGCACAGTAGTTTCTCCATGGGCGTGTTCCCGATGGTCCTGGAGAAGTACAGCTGCTCAATCTGCTGCGAACTGACGAAGTGAAGAGACGGGAGAAGAAGAAGCAGTTTCCCAAACCTTCAGAGACAGCACAACATTAGTCTCATGATTCTCTCTGTGATTTTACCCATGATGCCACGGGGCTGTACCTGCCGCTCTGGTCCGGATACACAGCCTGGATGTGCTGAGCCAAGAGAACCAGGGACTGATCCTGCAGACTCTCCACTTGTTCTGGATCTTTGAGACTGAGAGTGTCTGAGAGAAGACAAGATACAGTCCTTCAGTTGTATGAAGCAAAACGAAAATCTTATTTGTATTTAAAGTCGCAATATGTAAGATTTTCATGTCAAGTCATCATTAAAGGGCCCTAATCTGTCATCATTAAAGGGCCCTAATCTGTCGTCATGAAAGGGACATAATCTGTCATCATTAAAGGGCCATAATCTGTCCTCATTAAAGGGCCATAATCTGTCATAATTAAAGGGCCATAATCTGTCGTCATTAAAGGGCCCTAATCTGTCATCATTAAAGGGCCCTAATCTGTCATCATTAAAGGGCCCTAATCTGTCATAATAATAAACTTCTCTTTTCCAATCCTTCTTTAACTGACAACAGTAGTTCAGAGATATTTGAATATTTAAATTGCTTTTCCAGCCTCTAAATCTTATTATTGTTTTCATTTCGATGTTCCGCTCTCCACCGTTTCACCAATCAGAAAGTCTGTGATCCGGGCGCCAGAACTCACCATGTGGATGCTAATCTCACTGGTAAAGTACCATGTGGCGCAGAACTAAAAAAGGTCTCGTTATGATTCTCAAATCATTAACGACAAAACAAGGAATAAAACCAGGATTTCTATCTTTGTGAAAAAGGTGTTGGTTATAGATTTGTTGTTGACAAAACTCTTGTTCTATTCAGCTGTTATGGTCCCAGCTGGATTCGTCTGCATATCTGGCAACCTGAGTCAGGGAGAGTGGGAGAGGCTGCAGTACCACTTTTGACCACATTTGTACATATTTTTCCTTTAACTGTAACGAGAAATGTATGCTATTTGGACTAAACTTCAGGATTTCTTGTTCTTCCTTCCTGGTTAAACGATCTCTCGACACATTCCCCGTCTCTGCACCTGGTTTGAAGAGCACGATGGCTTTGAGACAGGCGAACTCGGTGGGGTCCACGGCCAGAGCCCTGAAGCGGTGGAACGTCTCCTCCAGAACTCGCAGGTCGGTGGACGGACGCCGGCTTTTGCTCAGAGAAGAATTGCTGAGAGAGACGAGAGAGACGAGAGAGAAGAGAGGGCAAGAGTCCAGAGGCAGAGACCACTGCACTGCACACAGGAGGAACATGCGGCTCCACACCTCCTCCAGCAGAATCACCTGGACACACACATGAGGACAAGTCTTTAGAGTCTGCTTTAAAGCTCACTTTTTTGTTTTAATGAAACTTGTCCCTTTGTAAAGACAAGGCAAGTTTAGTTTTATTGCACAGATTCATACACAAGGCAACTCAAAGTGCTTAAAAAACAAGATGGAGTCATAAATAATCACTGTAAATTAAAAAGGGTAAAGATCAAATCCAGATTAATAACTGTTCTGTTTCTGAAACAACTGAGTGATTTTAACTTCTCTCTCTTTTCATTTTAATGCCTTGTATTGTTGTTTCTATCTAGTTTTGTTCAGCACTTTGAGTTTGTATGATCTGCGCTACACACAAATACAAATAAACTTCCCCTTGTCTAAACTTCACAACACCCTTCAGCCTGAGACTCCAGAGCTGAACGCTTCCCTCTGCTCTAACACATGAGCCCTGTACCCCTGTACCCATGTACCCCTGTACCCCTGTACCCATGTACCCTTGTACCGCTGTACCCCTGTACCCTTGTACCCATGTACCCCTGTATCCATGTACCCTTGTACCGCTGTACCCCTGTACCCTTGTACCCATGTACCCCTGTACCCTTGTACCCATGTACCGCTGTACCCCTGTACCCTTGTACCCATGTACCCCTGCACCCATGTACCCTTGTACCCCTGTACCCCTGTACCCCTGTACCCATGTACCCATGTACCCCTGTACCTGGTCTCTGAAGGGCAACAGGGAGAACACAGGGAGGTGTTTGGCCCATTTCACCGACAGGAAGAGCAGCCGAGCAGAGGCCTCGTCCAGACTCTCCGGGACCAGCACCGGGGACACCGAGGGGCCACGGTCTGGGTCACACCTGGTCACATCCACGTTCTCCTCCACTAAAGAGAAGACACCCATTCAAAAACATTTAGAAAACAAAACAAAACTACAGCACTGAAAAAGAGATTAAAAATAAGTCAAAAAGTGCTGAAATTTGGCAAAATGTGTCTTAATTTCAATCTTTCTGACTGAGCCTTAAAACTAGATTCTCCAACGGGAAAAAGCAAAATGATCCTGTTTCAAAAAGATACAGAAACGTCTCCGAATGAGGAAACAAAGCAACAGCTCTTCAAATCAGACTAAATGACTTTGTCCCGTTGGAGAATCTAGTTTTAACACCGACAGAATGTGTTACGATAAAAACCACTTGATTTTCAGCAATTTTTGACTCATATATCATCACTTTTTGCAGTGAAGGTCCTGGGTTTGATCCTATCTTCAAGGCCTTTCCGTGTGGCGTTTGCAAGTTCTCCCCGTGCCAGTGTAGGTTTCCTCCAGGTGCTCCGGTTTCCCCTACCACTAAAAACATGTGCACTGGTCTCCCGTATTTGAAAGCCACAGCCGTTCCTCTGTGGCACCGTTATTACCCAGGGCCTGGTTCATCCCTACAGGAGGTGATAGACTGAGTTGTCGTTGCGTCCTCACCGTCCTCGTCCTCCATCTTGGCGCAGGTCTCGGCCGTCAGCAGACTGGCCATGAAGCGGTGGCTCTGGTGGTGGTGGGGGCAGGGTGCTGGCTGGTCTCGGTGGGTGCTGGGTGACGCCCGTGGGTGACAGGTGACGAAGGAACGGGGGGTTATTTGCTCCTCTTTGGTTTCCACGGCGACTCGAGCCAAACTACGAGGATGACGTACGTTTTGAACAGCTGACGACATAAGAACACACAAGACGACAGTGAGAAATGTTACACAACGGCTGTTTACTAACACCTCTAACCCTAGTTTAATGTATACTGAGGCCTCTAACCCTAGTTTAATGTATACTGAGGCCTCTAACCCTAGTTTAATGTATACTGAGGCCTCTAACCCTAGTTTAATGTATACTGAGGCCTCTAACCCTAGTTTAATGTATACTGAGGCCTCTAACCCTAGTTTAATGCATACTGAGGCCTCTAACCCTAGTTTAATGCATACTGAGGCCTCTAACCCTATGTGTAATGTATACTGAGGCCTCTAACCCTATGTGTAATGTACACTGAGGCCTCTAACCCTAGTTTAATGCATACTGAGGCCTCTAACCCTAGTTTAATGTATACTGAGGCCTCTAACCTTAATGTATACTGAGGCCTCTAACCCTATGTGTAATGTACACTGAGGCCTCTAACCTTAATGTATACTGAGGCCTCTAACCCTATGTGTAATGTATACTGAGGCCTCTAACCCTAGTTTAATGCATACTGAGGCCTCTAACCTTAGTTTAATGTATACTGAAGCCTCTAACCCTAGTTTAATGCATACTGAGGCCTTTGACCCTATGTGTAATGTATACTGAGGCCTCTAACCCTAGTTTAATGCATACGGAGGCCTCTAACCCTAGTTTAATGCATACGGAGGCCTCTAACCCTAGTTTAATGCATACTGAGGCCTCTAACCCTATGTGTAATGTACACTGAGGCCTCTAACCTTAATGTATACTGAGGCCTCTAACCCTATGTGTAATGTATACTGAGGCCTCTAACCCTAGTTTAATGCATACTGAGGCCTCTAACCCTAGTTTAATGTATACTGAGGCCTCTAACCCTAGTTTAATGTATACTGAGGCCTCTAACCCTATGTGTAATGTATACTGAGGCCTCTAACCCTAGTTTAATGTATACTGAGGCCTCTAACCCTATGTGTAATGTATACTGAGGCCTCTAATCCTAGTTTAATGTATACTGAGGCCTCTAACCCTAGTTTAATGCATACTGAGGCCTCTAACCCTATGTGTAATGTATACTAAGGCCTCTAACCCTAGTTTAATGTATACTGAGGCCTCTAATCCTAGTTTAATGTATACTGAGGCCTCTAACCCTATGTGTAATGTATACTGAGGCCTCTAACCCTATGTGTAATGTATACTGAGGCCTCTAATCCTAGTTTAATGTATACTGAGGCCTCTAACCCTATGTGTAATGTATACTGAGGCCTCTAACCCTAGTTTAATGCATACTGAGGCCTCTAACCCTAGTTTCATGTATACTGAGGCCTCTAACCCTAGTTTAATGTATACTGAGGCCTCTAACCCTAGTTTAATGTATACTGAGGCCTCTAACCCTAGTTTAATGCATACTGAGGCCTCTAACCCTAGTTTAATGTATACTGAGGCCTTTGAGCCTAGTTTAATGTATACTGAGGCCTCTAACCCTAGTTTACTGCATACTGAGGCCTCTAACCCTATGTGTAATGTATACTAAGGCCTCTAACCCTAGTTTAATGTATACTGAGGCCTCTAACCCTATGTGTAATGTATACTGAGGCCTCTAACCCTAGTTTAATCTATACTGAGGCCTTTGACCCTAGTTTAATGTATACTGAGGCCTCTAACCCTAGTTTAATGTATACTGAGGCCTTTGAGCCTAGTTTAATGTATACTGAGGCCTCTAACCCTAGTTTACTGCATACTGAGGCCTCTAACCCTATGTGTAATGTATACTAAGGCCTCTAACCCTAGTTTAATGTATACTGAGGCCTCTAATCCTAGTTTAATGTATACTGAGGCCTCTAACCCTATGTGTAATGTACACTGAGGCCTCTAACCTTAATGTATACTGAGGCCTCTAACCCTATGTGTAATGTATACTGAGGCCTCTAACCCTAGTTTAATGCATACTGAGGCCTCTAACCCTAGTTTAATGTATACTGAGGCCTCTAACCCTAGTTTAATGTATACTGAGGCCTCTAACCCTATGTGTAATGTATACTGAGGCCTCTAACCCTAGTTTAATGTATACTGAGGCCTCTAACCCTATGTGTAATGTATACTGAGGCCTCTAATCCTAGTTTAATGTATACTGAGGCCTCTAACCCTAGTTTAATGCATACTGAGGCCTCTAACCCTATGTGTAATGTATACTAAGGCCTCTAACCCTAGTTTAATGTATACTGAGGCCTCTAATCCTAGTTTAATGTATACTGAGGCCTCTAACCCTATGTGTAATGTATACTGAGGCCTCTAACCCTATGTGTAATGTATACTGAGGCCTCTAATCCTAGTTTAATGTATACTGAGGCCTCTAACCCTATGTGTAATGTATACTGAGGCCTCTAACCCTAGTTTAATGCATACTGAGGCCTCTAACCCTAGTTTCATGTATACTGAGGCCTCTAACCCTAGTTTAATGTATACTGAGGCCTCTAACCCTAGTTTAATGTATACTGAGGCCTCTAACCCTAGTTTAATGTATACTGAGGCATCTAATCCTAGTTTAATGCATACTGAGGCCTCTAACCCTAGTTTAATGCATACTGAGGCCTCTAACCCTAGTTTAATGCATACTGAGGCCTCTAACCCTAGTTTAATGTATACTGAGGCCTCTAATCCTAGTTTAATGTATACTGAGGCCTCTAACCCTATGTGTAATGTATACTGAGGCCTCTAACCCTATGTGTAATGTATACTGAGGCCTCTAAACCTAGTTTAATGTATACTGAGGCCTCTAATCCTAGTTTAATGTATACTGAGGCCTCTAACCCTATGTGTAATGTATACTGAGGCCTCTAACCTTAATGTATACTGAGGCCTCTAACCCTATGTGTAATGTATACTGAGGCCTCTAACCCTAGTTTAATGTATACTGAGGCCTCTAACCCTAGTTTAATGTATACTGAGGCCTCTAACCCTAGTTTAATGTATACTGAGGCCTCTAACCCTAGTTTAATGCATACTGAGGCCTCTAACCCTAGTTTAATGTATACTGAGGCCTCTAACCCTAGTTTAATGCATACTGAGGCCTCTAACCCTAGTTTAATGTATACTGAGGCCTCTAACCCTAGTTTAATGCATACTGAGGCCTCTAACCCTAGTTTAATGTATACTGAGGCCTCTAACCCTAGTTTAATGCATACTGAGGCCTCTAACCCTAGTTTAATGCATGCTGAGGCCTCTAACCCTAGTTTAATGTATACTGAGGCCTCTAACCCTAGTTTAATGTATACTGAGGCCTCTAACCCTATGTGTAATGTATACTGAGGCCTCTAACCCTAGTTTAATGTATACTGAGGCCTCTAACCCTATGTGTAATGTATACTGAGGCCTCTAACCCTAGTTTAATGCATACTGAGGCCTCTAACCCTAGTTTAATGTATACTGAGGCCTCTAACCCTATGTGTAATGTATACTGAGGCCTCTAATCCTAGTTTAATGTATACTGAGGCCTCTAACCCTAGTTTAATGCATACTGAGGCCTCTAACCCTAGTTTAATGTATACTGAGGCCTCTAACCCTATGTGTAATGTATACTGAGGCCTCTAACCCTAGTTTAATCTATACTGAGGCCTTTGACCCTAGTTTAATGTATACTGAGGCCTCTAACCCTAGTTTAATGTATACTGAGGCCTTTGAGCCTAGTTTAATGTATACTGAGGCCTCTAACCCTAGTTTACTGCATACTGAGGCCTCTAACCCTATGTGTAATGTATACTAAGGCCTCTAACCCTAGTTTAATGTATACTGAGGCCTCTAATCCTAGTTTAATGTATACTGAGGCCTCTAACCCTATGTGTAATGTACACTGAGGCCTCTAACCTTAATGTATACTGAGGCCTCTAACCCTATGTGTAATGTATACTGAGGCCTCTAACCCTAGTTTAATGCATACTGAGGCCTCTAACCCTAGTTTAATGTATACTGAGGCCTCTAACCCTAGTTTAATGTATACTGAGGCCTCTAACCCTATGTATAATGTATACTGAGGCCTCTAACCCTAGTTTAATGTATACTGAGGCCTCTAACCCTATGTGTAATGTATACTGAGGCCTCTAATCCTAGTTTAATGTATACTGAGGCCTCTAACCCTAGTTTAATGCATACTGAGGCCTCTAACCCTATGTGTAATGTATACTAAGGCCTCTAACCCTAGTTTAATGTATACTGAGGCCTCTAATCCTAGTTTAATGTATACTGAGGCCTCTAACCCTATGTGTAATGTATACTGAGGCCTCTAACCCTATGTGTAATGTATACTGAGGCCTCTAATCCTAGTTTAATGTATACTGAGGCCTCTAACCCTATGTGTAATGTATACTGAGGCCTCTAACCCTAGTTTAATGCATACTGAGGCCTCTAACCCTAGTTTCATGTATACTGAGGCCTCTAACCCTAGTTTAATGTATACTGAGGCCTCTAACCCTATGTATAATGTATACTGAGGCCTCTAACCCTAGTTTAATGTATACTGAGGCCTCTAACCCTATGTGTAATGTATACTGAGGCCTCTAACCCTAGTTTAATGCATACTGAGGCCTCTAACCCTAGTTTAATGCATACTGAGGCCTCTAACCCTATGTGTAATGTATACTGAGGCCTCTAACCCTATGTGTAATGTACACTGAGGCCTCTAACCCTAGTTTAATGCATACTGAGGCCTCTAACCCTAGTTTAATGTATACTGAGGCCTCTAACCTTAATGTATACTGAGGCCTCTAACCCTATGTGTAATGTACACTGAGGCCTCTAACCTTAATGTATACTGAGGCCTCTAACCCTATGTGTAATGTATACTGAGGCCTCTAACCCTAGTTTAATGCATACTGAGGCCTCTAACCTTAGTTTAATGTATACTGAGGCCTCTAACCCTAGTTTAATGTATACTGAGGCCTCTAACCCTAGTTTAATGTATACTGAGGCCTCTAACCCTATGTGTAATGTATACTGAGGCCTCTAATCCTAGTTTAATGTATACCGAGGCCTCTAACCCTATGTGTAATGTATACTGAGGCCTCTAATCCTAGTTTAATGTATACCGAGGCCTCTAACCCTATGTGTAATGTATACTGAGGCCTCTAACCCTAGTTTAATGTATACTGAGGCCTCTAACCCTATGTGTAATGTATACTGAGGCCTCTAATCCTAGTTTAATGTATACTGAGGCCTCTAACCCTAGTTTAATGCATACTGAGGCCTCTAACCCTATGTGTAATGTATACTAAGGCCTCTAACCCTAGTTTAATGTATACTGAGGCCTCTAACCCTATGTGTAATGTATACTGAGGCCTCTAACCCTATGTGTAATGTATACTGAGGCCTCTAATCCTAGTTTAATGTATACTGAGGCCTCTAACCCTATGTGTAATGTATACTGAGGCCTCTAACCCTAGTTTAATGCATACTGAGGCCTCTAACCCTAGTTTCATGTATACTGAGGCCTCTAACCCTAGTTTAATGTATACTGAGGCCTCTAACCCTATGTATAATGTATACTGAGGCCTCTAACCCTAGTTTAATGTATACTGAGGCCTCTAACCCTATGTGTAATGTATACTGAGGCCTCTAACCCTAGTTTAATGCATACTGAGGCCTCTAACCCTAGTTTAATGCATACTGAGGCCTCTAACCCTATGTGTAATGTATACTGAGGCCTCTAACCCTATGTGTAATGTACACTGAGGCCTCTAACCCTAGTTTAATGCATACTGAGGCCTCTAACCCTAGTTTAATGTATACTGAGGCCTCTAACCTTAATGTATACTGAGGCCTCTAACCCTATGTGTAATGTACACTGAGGCCTCTAACCTTAATGTATACTGAGGCCTCTAACCCTATGTGTAATGTATACTGAGGCCTCTAACCCTAGTTTAATGCATACTGAGGCCTCTAACCTTAGTTTAATGTATACTGAGGCCTCTAACCCTAGTTTAATGTATACTGAGGCCTCTAACCCTAGTTTAATGCATACTGAGGCCTCTAACCCTAGTTTAATGTATACTGAGGCCTTTAACCCTAGTTTAATGTATACTGAGGCCTCTAACCCTATGTGTAATGTATACTGAGGCCTCTAATCCTAGTTTAATGTATACTGAGGCCTCTAACCCTAGTTTAATCTATACGGAGGCCTTTGACCCTATGTGTAATGTATACTGAGGCCTCTAACCCTAGTTTAATGCATACGGAGGCCTCTAACCCTAGTTTAATGCATACGGAGGCCTCTAACCCTAGTTTAATGCATACTGAGGCCTCTAACCCTAGTTTAATGTATACTGAGGCCTCTAACCCTATGTGTAAAGTATACTGAGGCCTCTAACCCTAGTTTAATGTATACTGAGGCCTTTGACCCTAGTTTAATGTATACTGAGGCCTCTAACCCTAGTTTAATGCATACTGAGGCCTCTAACCCTCTTTTGGTGTATACATAAAGTAGGTGTTTCCAATTGGATGTTTTCAATACTCAAAAACGTTTTTCTTTGAGTGGGCTCGCCTCTTCGCAGATATGAGCTGTAACTGAGGCAACTGTAGTAAATCCACTCAGATTAGCAGCGGATTGGACTCACCATCTTTGTTCATTCCAGCCTGGAGACACTTCCTCAGACGACACGCCTGGCACTGGTTCCGATGAGCTTTGTCCACCAGGCACCGCCCAGTCCCTACACGACACCTGTGCATTGGCAAACGTGTACAATAGAAACACTTGAGAAGATTCATGGACAAAGTACTTCTCCTGATATGGCCCCGGCAAGTGGGGTGCCACAGGGGTCGATCCTGGGGCCTCCTCTGTTCTGTTTCTACATGCTGCCGTTGGGTCAGTAAATACGCAGAAACGACTCAGATCTATGTCTCACTGACTGCAGGAGAACATGGACCAGTGGACTCACTCCTTCACTGTATCCAACAGATCAGTGAGTGGATGCAAAACAACTTCCTTCAGCTAAACGCAGACAAAACTGAAATGATTGTCTTTGGTCCAGAAACAAAGAGAGAGCGTCATCTGTCACCTCCAGTCTCTCTCCCTAAAACCTTCAAACAAGGTCAGAAATCTAGGAATAATACCATAGACTGTAAATATTAAGGTAATTCTGGATTTTATATTTTAACAGCTGAATCAAATCAGTAACAGACCATCGAAAAACAATGCCTGAATCAAAAATATAGCCTTTCAACCAGACTTATATGAACCAACTCGGACTCTGAGGAGCACAGGGACTGGCCTCCTGCTGGGACTCTGAGGAGCACAGGGACTGGTCTCCTGCTGGGACTCTGAGGAGCACAGGGACTGGTCTCCGGCTGGGACTCTGAGGAGCACAGGGACTGGTCTCCTGCTGGGACTCTGAGGAGCACAGGGACTGGTCTCCTGCTGGGACTCTGAGGAGCACAGGGACTGGCCTCCTGCTGGGACTCTGAGGAGCACAGGGACTGGTCTCCTGCTGGGACTCTGAGGAGCACAGGGACTGGTCTCCGGCTGGGACTCTGAGGAGCACAGGGACTGGTCTCCTGCTGGGACTCTGAGGAGCACAGGGACTGGTCTCCTGCTGGGACTCTGAGGAGCACAGGGACTGGCCTCCTGCTGGTCCCAGAGTCAGGCCTAAACACGAGGAGGTGAAGTTGAAACAAACCTGTAGATGAGTTTTCTGCGGACGCTGCGTTTGAAGAAGCCGCTGCAGCCGTTGCAGGCGTAGATTCCGTAATGTTTCCCACTGCTGCTGTCGGAGCAGACGCTGCACAGGAGTCCGGAGGCCTTCGAGAACACAGCACCTGAACACGACAAATATATATTTACACTGTGGGTTTCATCTGACACTGTATACACTGCAAAGAGCGACGAAGAGTTAGTCAAAAATGTCTTAATTCGAGCACATTCTAAGTAAGCATTGTTTATTTATATAGCACATTTTTACAGACCAAGGTCGCCCAAACCGCTTTAAAATGTTCAAAGTTCAGATATAGTTCCATTCTCTCCACACGGTGATGACAGAAGCAAGTCCAGAACACACTGGACCATCAGCTCCAACACCATCCATTCACTCTCTCATTTACATTCAGACCTATTGTGCATGTTTTTAGTGGTAGGGGAAACCGGAGCACCCGGAGGAAACCTACACAGACACGGGGAGAACATGCAAACTCCACTCAGAAAGGCCCTGTTCTGACCAGGATTCGAACCCAGGACCTTCTTGCTGAGAAGCGAGAGTGCTAACCACTCAGCCACCGTATCGCCCGAGGCCTTGAAGATTTTCCAACGGCACAAAGCAAAATTATATTGTTTTAAAAAGATACGAGAAATGTGAATTTAAATAAGACTAAATGGCTTTGTTCCATTGGAGAATCTGGTTTTAACGGTTTTAACACAGACAGAATGAACTCAGATTAGGATAAAACCATTAGATATGATACAAGAATAAATTTAATTGAGAAAAATTTAAAGTTTTCTAAAGAGGCCCCAGAGAACTCACCAGTCTGAGTCTGGCCTGGGCTCAGGTCTCGGCTCAGGTCTCGGCTCAGTCCTCTCAGCACGTGATGGTCCTGGTCTCCCATTGTGGCCTGAGTCCGGTGGTCTCCTGGTGCGAGGTGGACCCGTGTGTGAGGAGTGAGGTGTGGGGCCGAGTGGAGCGTCCTCTGGGGTTGTCAGCCTGAGGATTATCATCAGCCGCTGAGTCAGCAAACACAGTCATCCTCTTAATCTTTACTGTTTATACGAATAAATCAATCAGTCACAGAAGTTCTTTTACTGCAGAGAGACGGGGGTCACCTGGTCCCACAGTGGAGCACACAGCACAAGATACATGAACAATAACTAAAATACATATTAATAATAATCTCTAGCTTTAGCATAATTCAGAGGCTAGTATAAAATCTCTAGCTTTAGCTTTAGCATAATAAAGAATCAAGTCTAAAGTATCATAAATGACACTAAATAATACAGTAACTTGTGGATGGAGAGGACACCATCTACAAACCTTGTCTAAAAACAACTCCATATCTCCCATAACCACATTACTTTTAAAACAGTATCGATGTTTGTTTTACTTGTCATAGATCATGTCATAAAAGTCCCTCTACATTTTACCGTCACAGGGATTCACTTCAGCCTGTGTCCATGTCTATGTTTACAGGGGCTAGCTCTAAAGTCGAATAAACTGAAAAACATTGCTCTGATCTGTGTCTGTTTCATCCCACTGCATTCACACATAGATTGCAAAAACATGGGGCAGAAAAAGTCAACGATTGTGGTTTTATTCTGACAACAGCGGTCCCTTTGTTGCTCATGAGCGGTGTATAAAGGGATTAGCTTCATTAGCATTAACCTTTAAATCCTCCATGAGACAAAGCTGCTGTTTTTGTGGCATGTGACAAATTGTTTTTTAAGCCACGAGACGCTGGGATCGAGGTTTGTTGTGATTGGTCAGAGGTGCCTCCTGTCTATGTTTAGGTCTATGTTTAAGTCTATGTTTTCCTGACCTCAGCTAATCGGAACAGGATGTAAGATTATGTCAGACTCTCTCATCGTACACGAGAAAAAAGACACAAAAAAACACAGATTTTAGGTATTTTTGTCCATTTTGTTGTTGGGAATATCAATGGTTATGGTCAAATGTTTTGGCAACTTCTGTTAAAAGACTGAAAGAAACTACAGAATAGATAGTCTGTCGGTACTGGTTTCTGGTCCTGGTCCACATGGTCCTGGTCCACATGGTCCTGGTCCTCATGGTCCTGGTTCAGGGTCATGTCCTTGGATGCTTCACACGTGCGTCAGACTAAGCAGCTTCTTGATATAATCTCAATAACGTCAGCTGTTGTCAAAGAGTTGGATTAACTTTTACATCAGACCAGTCTTTATCTCACTGTCCCAGCAGGAGGCCAGTCCCTGTGCTCCTCAGAGTCCCAGCAGGAGGCCAGTCCCTGTGCTCCTCAGAGTCCCAGCAGGAGGCCAGTCCCTGTGCTCCTCAGAGTCCCAGCAGGAGGCCAGTCCCTGTGCTCCTCAGAGTCCCAGCAGGAGGCCAGTCCCTGTGCTCCTCAGAGTCCCAGCAGGAGGCGAGTCCCTGTGCTCCTCAGAGTCCCAGCAGGAGGCCAGTCCCTGTGCTCCTCAGAGTCCCAGCAGGAGGCCAGTCCCTGTGCTCCTCAGAGTCCCAGCAGGAGGCCAGTCCCTGTGCTCCTCAGAGTCCCAGCAGGAGGCCAGTCCCTGTGCCCCTCAGAGTCCCAGCAGGAGGCCAGTCCCTGTGCTCCTCAGAGTCCCAGCAGGAGGCCAGTCCCTGTGTTCCTCAAGAGTCCCAGCAGGAGGCCAGTCCCTGTGCTCCTATGAGTCCCAGCAGGAGGCCAGTCCCTATGCTCCTCAAGAGTCCCAGCAGGAGGCCAGTCCCTGTGCTCCTTAAGAGTCCCAGCAGGAGGCCAGTCCCTGTGCTCCTGAGAGTCCCAGCAGGCCAGTCCCTGTGCTCCTCAGAGTCCCAGCAGGAGGCCAGTCCCTGTGCTCCTGAGAGTCCCAGCAGGCCAGTCCCTGTGCTCCTCAGAGTCCCAGCAGGAGGCCAGTCCCTGTGCTCCTCAGAGTCCCAGCAGGAGGCCAGTCCCTGTGCTTCTCAGAGTCCCAGCAGGAGACTGGTTTATAGACCGGTGCTTTATTGAACATGTACACAATGAATAAACTATAGACAGATATTGTGAAATAATAACTTTATAACGTGGATGGAGTCAAAAACAGCTTAAGGTCTATCTACAGTCTATGGTCTGAACACAGAGTTTACCACTGCTTGAAAGAGTTTAAAAATGGCAAATGAGTTTAAAAACAAGTTTTACATTCAGATAAAATCTATCTACAAAACGATCGACTAATGCTATAATTTAACTTAATATCCAAGTTTTATCCTGTGTTTATGAACAAAACAATGAAAACATTTGAACATAATTAGCAACAAAACGTTTTAATACCAATACATTCAAGAAAAACAGATCTCAGAAGACTACACTGCAAAAAGTGCTGAAAAATAAGTTTTAAAAAATGCTTAGATTTGGCCAAATGTGTAAATGTCCACACAATGTTTACAGTCTACGCTTAAAACTAGATTCTCCAATGGGACAAAGCAAAATGATCTTGTTTTAAAAAGATACACAGATGAAAATAAAGCAACAGTTCTTGAAATCAGACCAAATGTCTTTATCACTTCATATTTTATCATAATTAATCATTTTTTGCAGTGTAAAGGTGTTTGTATCATTTGTGTCGCAGCAGAAGTGAGTCCTGGACATAAAACATGAAAGAGTTCTCGTTAAGTGGTGCCTTTTCTTTGATCCTCGAGTGGAGACGAGGCCTGAGGAGTCAGCGCCTGTGGGATTAACTCCACCATCTGCTGCCACTGAGACGCAGCTCCGTAATCTGCCTGGATCATAATTTCACACATTCAGAACAAGAGAACAAGTCCCTGGAGCCAGATCAGCGCCGTCTCCGTGGGGGGTGTGGATGGTCAGTTATCTCACGGTGGTATTGAGGAATTTGGGGAAAACAGGAGGCGTTACGTGAGGAGGAAAGAGAACGCAGCAGTCCAAGATAAAATGGCTGCCTTACACTGCAAAAAAATGACATAACTGCCTGAATCTAGTGGTTTTTATCTTAATCTGGAGAATCTGTTAAAACTAGATTCTCCAATGGGACAAACTCATGTAGTCTTCTTTCAAGAACTGTTTTAAGGCTCAGTCAAAATGTGCTCAAATTAATAAGACACATTAACACACATTTTGCCAAATTCGGGCAATTTTACGGGCATTATTACTCATAACTTTTTGCAGTGCGTAACGGTCTGAAGGACTGTCTCTGTCCCCAAACCTGAATATTAGCGAACAATTGTGATGAGATTCAAAACCCATAAAGTCCATGCTCAGAACCCAGCAAACCTGAACAGGAGATGATCTGCAAGGAACAATGGGCCAAAATACCTTCCACCAGAATCAGACTCTTATTGGAAGATATAGGAAGCGTTTTGAGACTGTACAAAATATTGAGTTTCTTTTTCTTGCGCGACGCCTAAATCTGTGCACATGACTCATTTCAATGATTCTTTCACACTTTCTTTGAATGATACAAACTTTATTCAACTCCTCAAATATCCAGGCCTAATCACAGCAATACAATGTGTATGTTTAAAAAGTCAAATACATAAAGTAACAGATTCTTGTAACAAAGAAAAATAAAACTTTTGAAATATATGTTTAAAAACCGGTAGAAAAGCAGTGTAAAAGCAGCAGGTTCAGATGCCTGGGTTAAAGCGTCTGGGTCAGATGCCCGGGTTGTTGCTTCAGGGTCAGAAACCCGGGTCACAGCCTCTGGGTCAGATGCCCGGGTCACAGCCTCTGGGTCAGATGCCCGGGTCACAGCCTCTGGGTCAGATGCCCTGGTCACAGCCTCTGGGTCAGATGCCCTGGTCACAGCCTCTGGGTCAGATGCCCGGGTCACAGCCTCTGGGTCAGATGCCCGGGTCACAGCCTCTGGGTCAGATGCCCGGGTCACAGCCTCTGGGTCAGATGCCCTGGTACTCTTGTGGGCAGTGACCCACAAACAGCGGCTCGGCTTGGACCCCGCGGCTGCAGCACAAACACATGGATCTCACACTTACAAAACAACAATCATTTAAAAGTTGTGAAAAATATGGACAGAATTTAGCCTTTAGCTTAGGCCTTTTTGATTCTACTTTTGACTGTTATTATGCTACACATGGAAGAAGAGGACTCACCGCAGAAGCTCGCAGCGGAACCTCTGGAGGCGAGGGAAGGCCCGGTCCACACTGGAGGTCTGAGCCTCATCGCTCCACAGCCGCTCTGCAGCCGCACTCGCCCTGGGCCTGAAACAACAGTGGCACCGAAACATGACCAAAACAACACAACATGAGGCTGAAGCAATCGTTTCTAAATTAGCAACAACAAAATATGTCATACATCATTCTTGCTTCTTTTTTATGCTAAAGTTTTCCCTATCTTTTCACCTGCAGGTAAATGTCAGATCCTGTAGCTGAGCAGGGCACGGCCTGGTTAGCACTGGGATGGGAGACCTCTGAACAGCAGGTGCCACAGTGGGGCGGCTGTAAAGTGCCAAACTGTGGTTGTGTCCTTTGGCAAGACACTTCCCCCACATTAGAATGAGTCTGGTGTGTTTGTGAATGGTTGGTGGGAGGGGCCGATGGCACAGACTGGTTGCCTCGCTTCTGTCAGTGTGCCCCAGGGCAGCTGTGGCTACTGTAGTGAATGAATAATGACATGTGAAGCGTCTGTGAGCGTCCAAAAAGCGCAGGATATTATTATTAGGGCTGTCAAAATTATCGCGTTAACGCACGTTAATTAATTTTTGTCATTAATCGCGTTAAAAAAATTAACGCATTTGACGCATGCCCATGCGTCCCATAATAACACTCAGAATGCCGCGGACACATGCGTGTGTGAGATGGGGACAGAGCGTGACCGCGGGGCACTTGTTGTTTCCTGTATGAGCTCTGCATGATGAGCTGCGGGCGCCACAGCGCTCTGGACCGCAGTTCCTCCAGCGGCTGTGATGACGGCGAACGGCGCTGCGTAATGGGATCATATCCAAGACCACGCACAGAACTATTACAGAACTATTCTCTAGTGTGCGTACGTGTCTTTGCGTAACCGACGGACACAATATGTACAGCGCTGAAGGTGGACTGAGGAGCCTCAGTCTCCTCCGTGTCTTCTCCCGAAGCGCACTCGCTAAATTAAAGCTGAGGTACCTAATTTTCCTTTCGACCATCAGTTCATGTTAGTTGTGCCAAAAAAAGTAATGGTGTGAGCAAATCAAACAGATTTAATGACATTCTGCATTTCTGACTATTTTGAAATGTCCCTAATCTGTAACAAACAATGGTTTGGTCTGAGTCTAAACAGAAAGACAGAATGTTAATAATGTTAATTCCATTTTATATGGATTTATTGTTATAACAAACAAATACAGTACATATGTTCACTATGTTGTCATTTATCTTTCCATTCAAACAACAATTTACAGAAAAATATGTCATAATTTTGCCAATAGTTTGAAATGTGATTAATTACGATTAATTAATTTTTAAGCTGTAATAAATGAATCGTTCGACAGCCCTTAATTATTATTATTATTATTATTATTAAAGCTCATTCTAAGGAAAGGCTCTGTAAATATCAAGCTTTAAAGTCTGTGTGTAATAGTTCGAGTTTCTCACCAAAGTCGAGGCTCGAGGTTCGTGGCGTCCACATACTCCCCCCACATGCAAACCTCTCCACCAATCACCAGCTTCTTCTGCTGCTCTGAACCTGCAGACACCACACCAGCAACACACACTTTAGCATCAGAGAGGGACCAGAGAGGGACCAGAGAGGGACCAGAGAGAGACCAGAGAGGGACCAGAGAGGAACCAGAGAGGGACCAGAGAGGGGCCAGAGAGAGACCAGAGAGAGACCAGAGAGAGACCAGAGAGAGACCAGAGAGAGACCAGAGAGAGACCAGAGAGAGACCAGAGAGAGACCAGAGAGGGACCAGAGAGGGACCAGAGAGGGACCAGAGAGGGACCAGAGAGGGACCAGAGAGAGACCAGAGAGGGACCAGAGAGGGACCAGAGAGGGACCAGAGAGAGACCAGAGAGAGACCAGAGAGGGACCAGAGAGGAACCAGAGAGGGACCAGAGAGGGACCAGAGAGAGACCAGAGAGAGACCAGAGAGAGACCAGAGAGGGACCAGAGAGGAACCAGAGAGGGACCAGAGAGAGACCAGAGAGAGACCAGAGAGGAACCAGAGAGAGACCAGAGAGGGACCAGAGAGGAACCAGAGAGGGACCAGAGAGGGACCAGAGAGAGACCAGAGAGAGACCAGAGAGAGACCAGAGAGGGACCAGAGAGGAACCAGAGAGGGACCAGAGAGAGACCAGAGCGAGACCAGAGAGGAACCAGAGAGAGACCAGAGAGGGACCAGAGAGAAATCAGAGAGAGACCAGAGAGAGACCAGAGAGGGACCAGAGAGGGACCAGAGAGAGACCAGAGAGAGACCAGAGAGGGACCAGAGAGGGACCAGAGAGGGACCAGAGAGAGACCAGAGAGGGACCAGAGAGAGACCAGAGAGAGACCAGAGAGGGACCAGAGAGGAACCAGAGGAGATGCCACCAGAGAGGAACCAGAGGAGATGACATCAGAGAGGAACCAGAGGAGAGGACAGCAAAAGGGAACCAGAGAGGGACCAGAGAGGGACCAGAGAGGAACCAGAGGGGGACCAGAGAGGAACCAGCACCGCCACCAGAGAGGAACCGGAGAGGGTCCAGAGAGGTACCAGACAGGGACCAGAGAGGGACCAGAGAGGGACCAGAGGAGACGACACCAGAGAGGAACCAGAGGAGACGACACCAGAGAGGGACCAGAGGAGACGACACCAGAGAGGGACCAGAGGAGACGACACCAGAGAGGAACCAGAGGAAACAAACTGGTTGCTCTGAGCTCTCGTGACCGCCACAGACCGGAGAAGTTAAGAGGCTGCACGCCGTAGTAAGTTCTCCAGTCCTGGCCGTAGCTGACGTGGTTGATGTACCAGGGAGCGGCCAGGATCACCCTCAGACCCGCGGCCGTGATCCGGGCCACCTCCACCTGGTACCGAGCCGGGACGCCCTTCCACACGTGCAGCACAGAGTCCGCAGGGATCTGGGCGGGTCACAAACAGCTCAAATGGCCTTTTTAGATTCACCTTTTCAGAGTTTTAATGCAAGTTTTTATCAGATACGTTTTTTAACTCAGGTAAAGCCTTTTTGAAGCGGCTCAGACCTGGAAAAAACGATCCACGCTTTTATCAGAATTGACCGTAATGCTGTAAATGATTCTATTTTGTACTCCTTTTATCTCCCTTTTTAAACCCACTTTTTAATGAGTTTTAAACGGCGTACTTTTATGCTGCTCTTATGAAATAATTGTATATTTTCTGACTTTTTACTGCATTTTGAGCTGTGTTTTTACATTGAGAGATCCCCAGTCTGGTTTTAATGGTCTTCAGTTTGTCAGACCAGTCACACATCACCCCAGTCTACATTGGCTCGCAGTTTGCTTTTGAGTTGATTTTAAAATTTTATTATTATTCAGACTTTTTGTATATTATTTCAAACTTGCACAGCACACGTCTACACTTCCGTACTTTATTTTCGACTTATTTTGTGCATTGCTATAAAACTGTTGAAGTCTGGAGTCTTTTGGGGTTCGTTGTGTTGAGTCTTTTTTCAAGAGAAATACTGTAATCCAAATAATGTCAGTCTTTGTGATTGGTAAATTGTGGACATAATGGTTGAAAGAATTACATATTTATGCTACTTCAGTGTGTTTATCCATTTCAAAGACTTGTTGGCATCGTTACCGCTCTTTTTGGACAGCAATTAGTGACATTAGATTGTTCCAGAGACAATCGTGAGCGTGTAGCACCGTCTGTTGGTGAGCTGGGGGTACTGCAGACCTAGTTATGTCTAAGGACAACATTTCAGTGATTACAAGTGTGTTAAAAATTAGAATTGAAGTTTCTTTGTGCCAACAGCTGAAATGATCCAACCACTGCAGAAAGGTGAAACAGCGGTTAGGTGCTGGGTTCGAATCCCATTCGGCCGGGCATCATGGGTACCCAGCTTGGAGTACCCAGGCGCGTTACTACGGCGACCACTGCTCCTGACAGACATCCTTGTGGTATCGGAGGATGGGTCAAATGAAGGGGACAAAGTAAATAAAAAGTACCTCAGCTTTAACCTGTCGGTGAAAGACAGATCCAGACCTTTAACCGCGTAAGGTCGCACTTTTTACTATTGTTACCAACTTTTATATTTGTTTGTGTGAATGGATGTGTGTGTTTCAGCTGCTGGACACGCAGGTTTCTACTACGGGGATCCTTAAAGTACTGTATCCATCTACACCTCTACTGTATCTCTCCATCTACCTACCTACACCTCTATCTCTCCATCTACCTACCTACACCTCTATCTCTCCATCTACCTACCTACACCTCTATCTCTCCATCTACCTACCTACACCTCTATCTCTCCATCTTCCTACCTACACCTCTATCTCTCCATCTTCCTACCTACACCTCTATCTCTCCATCTACCTACCTACACCTCTATCTCTCCATCTACCTACCTACACCTCTATCTCTCCATCTTCCTACCTACACCTCTATCTCTCCATCTTCCTACCTACACCTCTATCTCTCCATCTACCTACCTACACCTCTATCTCTCCATCTACCTACCTACACCTCTATCTCTCCATCTTCCTACCTACACCTCTATCTCTCCATCTACCTACCTACACCTCTATCTCTCCATCTACCTACCTACACCTCTATCTCTCATCTACCTACCTACCTACCTACACCTCTATCTCTCCATCTTCCTACCTACACCTCTATCTCTCCATCTACCTACCTACCTACCTACACCTCTATCTCTCCATCTTCCTACCTACACCTCTATCTCTCCATCTACCTACCTACCTACACTTCTATCTCTCCATCTACCTACCTACCTACACCTCTATCTCTCCATCTACTTTCCTACCTACCTACACCTCTATCTCTCCATCTACCTACCTACACCTCTATCTCTCCATCTACCTACCTACACCTCTATCTCTCCATCTACCTACCTACACCTCTATCTCTCCATCTACCTACCTACACCTCTATCTCTCCATCTACCTACCTACACCTCTATCTCTCCATCTACCTACCTACACCTCTATCTCTCCATCTACCTACCTACACCTCTATCTCTCCATCTACCTACCTACACCTCAATCTCTCCATCTATCTACTGTAGGTAGATAGATGGAGAGATTGAGGTGTAACCCAGGTCTTTTCCTCTGATCCTCATTGATTCCCAGACAGTTCATTGGCCCCGCCACTGATGGCGCTGTAGTTAAAGTATGGCCGTCAGGCTAATGCACGGTCTGGCTACTTCCTGTTAGCCCTTCCCTGTGTGGCAGTCTAGCTGAAAGCGTCTGTAACTAACAGAAAACTGATCAGAAAACTTCCAGCATTCAGCGGTCAGGTTTTTTTCCACCCTGAACCAGAACTGAATTAAAATTCCTCTTTTGAGGTGGCGAGCTGAGCCCAGAAGCCTGCAACTGGTAGGACCTTTATTTTTTTCCCCAATACGTGGACACTTTGAGTTTGGACACCTTTCCCCCCTGGAATGAAGGATTATTGTTTTTTTATGAAAGGAATCTACTTTGTTTTCTACAAACTTTCTAACCGTAACTGAACTTTCCTCTCAACCGAGAGTTTCGAACTGAGAACTATTAAAAAGGGTTTTTTCCCCATGGTTGGGTTTTCCCTTTACATCTTATTTTGAGAATTCTTTTTTTGTTTCCTTTTTTTTTTTTGCACACTTTGAATATTGAACTTTGTTTTTGAAATATATTGGTTATATTTATTGATTGCTTGTTTTCCACTTCTATCTTCTACTCACAAAAAAGAAACATTTACAAATACAATATTTTTTATTCCGTTACTCCGTCTCCCTGGTCCTCATTCCCACAAGCTCCTCTCACGTATTTAGTTTCTTTCTGTCAGTCAGTCTTAGTTTCCTTGCATCCCTTAGCCCTAACCTAATTGTTTGTTATTCACTTACTTTAAATTAGTGTTACAAATGGCGAGCTAGCCAGGAGCTTGTGTTTGAATGTGGTATTGATTATTTAATTAATCTGAAATTGGAAAAAAAAAAAATCTAAATTTTCGTCCACTATGGAAAAATTCTTTGAAAAATCAGGGTTGAACATTAAGAACTGTGTCACTATTACTGGCGAAATAAACGGTAGTAATGAACTAGAACTGCTAGAACAATTAAAGAACTATGGTTCTCATAAGATAAGAGCAGTTGACAGTAAAAACCTGGTCGTTGAATATAAACATGAGTCCTCCATCATAGAACTCAAACATATTCTCCCTTATACCCATGTGTTAAGCACAAATCCAGAACTCTCTTTTCATGTAGCATTGAGTAAGACTACATTGAGTGAGAGTAGCACAGCCTCAGCCCCTCCCCCTGATTACATGGAAGAACTTAAACGTATCGCAAGACGCAGTGGACAGAATCTGGAACTGGTGTTACAGGAAGTAATGCTGCAGATCAGCAGTCACTTGGACAGTGTGGAGCCCACTGGTGGACAAGGAGAGCAGCCGATGAAGAGTGAGGACCCGGCACCGCCCTTGCCTGGCCAGCAGGGTGTGCCACTCACGCAAGCCGATCTTAATCCACCTCAAGTCCAGAAAATGGTGGTGGAACATATCGTGCGAGCGGAAGACTTTGCCACTCACTCCGGACCTGCAGTCCGTCTTCGTCCATTCTCTGGAAAAACTCCCAAAACACAAAATGAAGCCGATTACGACACGTGGCGATCACATATTGAACTTTTACTAACTGATGTCAATTTACCTCCACTGCATGTCACCCGCAGAATAATAGAAAGTCTCTTGTCACCCGCTGCCGACGTCGTGAAGGGACTCAGACCAGACACACTGCCATCGGTTTATTTACAAGTGCTAGACTCTGCATACTCCACGGTGCAGGATGGAGAAGAGCTGTTCGCCCAGTTTTTAAACACACTTCAGGACGCTGGGGAGAACCCCTCCAGTTACCTGCAACGTCTTCTTCTTACGCTGAATACCGTTGTGAAGCGTGGAGGAGTCGTGGCAGCAGATGTCGACAAACACTTACTGAGACAGTTCTGCAGAGGATGTTGGGACAATGGCATTATTGGGAAACTCCAGCTAGAACAAAAGCGTGACAATCCACCATCTTTCGCTGAATTGCTTCTGCTGTTGAGGACCGAAGAGGACCGGCGCAGTTGGCAAAAGAGAGCTTAATGAAAAAGCATATGGGCTCCTCCAAGCAACGTGCCACCCTTCAGGCCCAGACCACATGTCCCTGCAGTCATTCCAATGCAGACTCCACTTCCATCCGTGAGCTGAAGGAACAAATGAGAGCACTCCAGCAACAAATGTCAGTACTCCTTACCCAGACCTCCAAGAACGTCAACCGAATCAAAGAACCCAATTTCCAACCAACAGGTGGCAGTAGACCCCAGAACACCAGACCCCGACCTGGATTTTGCTACAAGTGTGGAGAAGATGGTCACATCGTCACAACCTGTAACCAGCCTGCCAACTCTACACTCGTGCAACAAAAGAAAACTCAACTTCGACAAAACCAACAAAGGTGGGACCAGAACCAAAAGAATCATTTAAACTAACTTCAGCCTCTCCTGCAGGACAAGCAGAGGCTGCATCCACTCAGTGTCCTAACCATCAATCCCAACAGCCTTGTCACATACTTCCGAAAGGACTGATTGGTACAAAGTGTACTGCTCAGGTCGTTATCAACAACAAACCCATAAACTGCTTGCTAGACACAGGTTCGCAAGTCACCACCATTTCACAATCTTACTATAACACATACTTGTCGGATCATCAACTGAAGCCCCTGGAGGATTTACTTGAGGTCGAGGGTGCGAACGGCCAAGCTGTGCCCTACCTGGGTTACATAGACCTTGATATCACGTTTCCCAGTGACTTCTTGGGAACTCAGCTTGACGTTGCTACGTTAGCCCTTGTAGTTCCTGACTTCAAGCCCCATCAGCCTTTTCTTTTGATAGGTACCAACACGCTAGACATTGTCTATGCCTTTCACAGCCAGCAAAGCCCCGAGTTTCATCCAGTTCCTTATGGCTATCGTGTGGTCATGAAAATCCTTGAGCACCGCCATAAACTGAACAAAGCAGAGCATCATGGCATCGTAAGATTGAACAGTATCACGTCTCAAATAATCCCAGCCAGACAGACTATCCTTCTAGAAGGAACTGCCATCGCACCATCTCTGCAAGCTGAGAAATCTGTCGTTATCGAACATCCCACATCATTTCACTTACCTGGTGGTCTGATGATCCAGTCGTGTCTTGTCGATTTCTCCAGCCAGCATCCAGTCCGTCTACCGGTACCTGTTACCAATGAAACTGACCACGACGTGACATTACCCCCTCGAGCCATGCTTGCTGAAATCAGTGCCTTCCAGAAAATCTCATGCGCTGAACAGACTTGTCCCACATCTCATTCCGACACTTTGACAAAGCCACTCTTTGATTTTAACTTTGAAAACTCACCTCTGACTCCAGAGTGGAAAGACCGAATCATCCATAAACTCAATAGCATCCCAGAAGTTTTTGCTAAACACGATCTGGATTTTGGCAGAACCGATCGAGTAAAGCACCAGATCAAACTAAACGATCCAACACCTTTCAAACAGAGACCGAGACCCATACACCCCCAAGATCTTGATGCGGTGAGAAAACACCTTCAAGAGCTTGTCGACTCAGGAGTAATAAGAGAGTCCGACTCACCATTCGCTTCGCCAATCGTGGTTGTAAGGAAAAAGAATGGAAGTGTCCGGCTCTGTATTGATTACAGGAAACTCAACCTGCAGACAATAAAAGATGCTTATGCTCTTCCAAAGCATGAAGACACTTTTACTGCCTTATCAGGATCACAATGGTTTTCAGTATTAGATCTCAAATCTGGATATTATCAAATCGAAATGGACGACCAAGACAAATCAAAAACTGCTTTTGTGTGCCCACTCGGATTTTGGGAATTCAATAGAATGCCCCAAGGGGTCACAAATGCACCATCGACATTCCAACGCTTGATGGAAAAATGTGTCGGGGAAATGAACTTGAAAGAAGTGCTTGTGTTTATAGATGACCTCATTGTCTTTGCCCCCACATTGGAGCTGCATGAGGAGAGACTGATGAAAGTCTTACAAAGATTGAAAGACTTTGGTTTGAAGCTTTCTGTTGAGAAATGCAATTTCTTTCAGAGCTCTGTCCGCTATTTAGGACACATTGTTTCTAAAGATGGTGTTGAGACTGATCCGGCCAAAATCGAAGCTTTGAAGTCTTGGCCGATCCCGAAGAACCTTAAAGAGCTCAGATCCTTTCTTGGTTTTTCCGGTTATTACCGGCGGTTCATTAAAGGTTATTCGAACCTTGTAAAACCGCTTCATGAACTTACCTCTGGGTATCCCCCGTCACAAAAGAAGATGAAACCCCTTATCAGACCAGAACATTACTTTAACCCCAAAGAGCCATTCGGAGGTCGGTGGACACCTGCATGTCAGGAAGCATTCGAACAAGTGAAGTCACGACTTACCTCTGCTCAGGTGCTTGCATTCGCTAACCCACAGCTACCTTACCTGCTCCACACCGACGCCAGTTCCATTGGGCTTGGTGCCATTTTATATCAAGAGCAGGAAGGACAAAAAAGGGTCATTGCTTACGCCAGCAGGGGGTTATCCCGAAGTGAGTCGAGGTACCCAGCCCACAAGCTAGAGTTCCTGTCCTTGAAATGGGCAGTCACTGAAAAGTTCAATGATTACTTGTACGGCACTTCTTTCACGGTTGTTACTGATAGTAATCCGTTAACTTACCTCCTCACTTCCGCCAAACTTGATGCAACCAGCTATCGCTGGTTGTCTGCTCTTTCCACCTACGACTTCAAAATAACCCTGACCCGCGTCCGGAAAGCCAAATCCGATGGCAGATGGTCTTTCCGCGTAGACCCCATGGCGAACTTCCAACTGTATCACGATGTCTGAAAAAGAAAAAGAACGAATCCTCCCGAATCACAGAGCAACGATCTAGAGACGCCCCAATGTCAAAACCCATTGATCCAACATACTGATACAGAGCTATCACTGACGCGGCAACTAATCTGGTAGGTGCTCCTGAATTCCATTTTCTGACCATGTTAACCATTCATTTCTTTGTCCATTGTCCCGCTGACTGCCTACCAGAAAGCTTTACTGCTGACTAGCAGTGTCGCGTCCAATCTGGTTTCCACAGCTGAGTCCATCTGAAATTGCTGACAGACAACGATCTGACCCAGTTCCTAGACACGTCCATAGCACAGTTGGATCAGAATCAGAATCAGAATCAGAATCATTTTTATTGCCAACGTAAGTAACGGGAGGTCACAGACTTGGAAATTGCTTTGGCTCAGTGCAACAGTCAAAAAGAGATAATAAAAATAAGAATAAAAAACACTTCTAAAGAATAAATTTAAATTTAAAATAGAGTTACAGTTACTATTTACAATATACAAGTGCACATGGTGCACACAATGTAAGGTGACAGCAGTACAGTGAAGTAAAGTGACGTATGATGGGCAGTAAAGTGACTTTATAAAGGGCGGGGGGACAGGTTAAGAAGTGTTCAAGAGTCGAACAGCAGAGGGGAAGAAACTGTTCTTGTGGCGGGAGGTTCTAGTCCTGATGGACCGCAGCCTCCTGCCTGAGGGGAGTGGTTGGAATAGTCCATGTGCAGGGTGAGAGGGGTCGGCTGTGATACGACCAGCCCGGCCTCGAGCTCGGGCGACGTACAGGTCCTGCAGCGATGGAAGGCTGCGGCCGATCACTTCCTCTGCAGAGCGCACAATGCGCTGTAGTCTCTGTTTGTCCCTGACTGTGGCTCCAGCGAACCACACGGTGATGGAGGAGGTGAGGATGGACTCGATGATGGCCGTGTAGAACTGCACCAACATCTGTGCAGGCAGCTTGGCTTTCCTGAGCTGCCGCAGGAAGTACATCCTCTGCTGGGCCTTCTTGATGAGGGAGCTGATGGTCGGCTCCCACTTGAGGTCCTGGGTGATGGTGGTGCCCAGGAAACGGAAGGACTCCACAGAGGTGATGGGGGAGTCCATCACGGAGGGTGGGGGCGGGGGGACAGTGCTCTTCCTGAAGTCCACAATCATCTCCACTGTCTTCTGGGCGTTCAGCTCCAGGTTGTTACCACTGCACCAGGACACCAGCCGGTCCACCTCCCTCCTGTAGGCGGACTCATCGTTGTTGGAGATGAGTCCAATGAGGGTGGTGTCGTCCGCGAACTTGATCAGCTTCACGGAGTCGTGGCTGGAGGTGCAGTGGTTGGTGTACAGGGAGAAGAGCAGGGGAGAAAGAACACAGCCCTGTGGGGCTCCTGTATTTATAATCCGAGAGTCCGAGACATTCTTCCCCAGACGCACTCGCTGCTTCCTGTCCGTCAGGAAGTCAGTGATCCACCTGCAGGTGGAATCGGGCACGTTGAGCTGGGAGAGCTTGTCCTGGAGCAGGGATGGCAGGATTGTGTTGAAGGCAGAGCTGAAGTCCACGAACAGGACCCTGGCGTAGGTCCCCGGGGAGTCCAGGTGCTGTAGGATGTGGTGGAGGGCCAGGTTAATGGCGTCGTCTACAGATCTGTTGGCTCTGTAGGCGAACTGCAGGGGGTCCAGGAGGGGGGAGGTGAGGGACTTGAGATGGGAGAGAACCAGGCGTTCAAATGACTTCATGACGACAGACGTAAGTGCTACAGGTCTGTAGTCATTGAGTCCTGTGATCCTGGGCTTCTTCGGGACGGGGACAATGATGGAGGATTTGAAGCAGGCCGGGACATGGCAGGACTGCAGAGAGGAGTTGAAAATGTCCGTGAACACAGGAGTAAGCTCACTGGCGCAGTGTCTCAGAGTGGCCGGAGACACGTGGTCCGGGCCAGGAGCTTTGCGGGGGTGCAGCCTCAGGAAGAGTTGTTTAATCTCTTTAGCGGCTATTGTTAGGCTGGGGGCAGGGCTGATGGGTGGGTCGTTAGAGTAGTGGGGGGTGGGGGAGGGAGAGGTGTCAGGGGCAGCATCAAAGCGACTGAAAAATAAGTTCAGATCGTCAGCTAGCTTGTGGTCATCAGCACAGGGGGGGGCTTTGGGTTTGTAGTTGGTGATCTCCCGTAGGCCCCTCCAGACAGAAGCAGTATCGTTGTTACCAAACTGCTCCTGTAGTCGTTCTCTGTGCCGGGACTTGGCTGCTTTCAGTTCTTTCCTGAACTGATATTTAGCTGCTTTGTAGCCGCTGCGGTCCCCCTCCCTGAAAGCAGACTCCTTTGCTTTCCTGAGCTGCCGGAGTTTAGCAGTGAACCAGGGTTTGTCGTTGTTATAGATGACCCTGGTCCTTGTTGGAATGATGCTATCCTCACAGAAGTGGATGTATGACGTCACAGTGTCCGTATATTCATCCAAGCTGTCTGTGGCAGCTCTGAAAAGGTCCCAGTCTGTAGATTCCATGCATGCGCGCAGCTCTTCCACAGCTTCATCAGACCACACTTTGGAGCTCCTCACTGCAGGTTTGACCCCCCTCCTGGCTTACCAGAACCAATGCTCATAGATCCCGATCCTGAAACTGACTTACCGGTAACCTTACCAGTAAACTTACCTGTTTAACTAGTACCTGCCCCTGACTCACCTGATATGCAAATTCCTGTTGAAACTAACTTACCTGATCCCGATCCTCTCGTTTCTCCTACCGGTCCCGATGCGTTGTCCTCCGATGTTTACGATCCACCTAAACGTAGCTCCCGAGTAAGACATCCCCCTCAAAGATTACAATACAGTAGATTGGGTCATCCAGTCTTAAAAAGTATTCAGTCTCTCTTTGATGGCCTTGGCAAAGTGTTTTCTCTTGCCATACCTGACGATGATAGTGATTTTAGTTATTCCTTTCACTCTCCTGTCCAGCCACATGTCTGTGGTCCGTCCGACTCATGTTCGGGGACGTACATGAGGTCAGGGGGGGACCCTGTAACCCAGGTCTTTTCCTCTGATCCTCATTGATTCCCAGACAGTTCATTGGCCCCGCCACTGATGGCGCTGTAGTTAAAGTATGGCCGTCAGGCTAATGCACGGTCTGGCTACTTCCTGTTAGCCCTTCCCTGTGTGGCAGTCTAGCTGAAAGCGTCTGTAACTAACAGAAAACTGATCAGAAAACTTCCAGCATTCAGCGGTCAGGTTTTTTTCCACCCTGAACCAGAACTGAATTAAAATTCCTCTTTTGAGGTGGCGAGCTGAGCCCAGAAGCCTGCAACTGGTAGGACCTTTATTTTTTTCCCCAATACGTGGACACTTTGAGTTTGGACACCTTTCCCCCCTGGAATGAAGGATTATTGTTTTTTTATGAAAGGAATCTACTTTGTTTTCTACAAACTTTCTAACCGTAACTGAACTTTCCTCTCAACCGAGAGTTTCGAACTGAGAACTATTAAAAAGGGTTTTTTCCCCATGGTTGGGTTTTCCCTTTACATCTTATTTTGAGAATTCTTTTTTTGTTTCCTTTTTTTTTTTGCACACTTTGAATATTGAACTTTGTTTTTGAAATATATTGGTTATATTTATTGATTGCTTGTTTTCCACTTCTATCTTCTACTCACAAAAAAGAAACATTTACAAATACAATATTTTTTATTCCGTTACTCCGTCTCCCTGGTCCTCATTTCCCACAAGCTCCTCTCACGTATTTAGTTTCTTTCTGTCAGTCAGTCTTAGTTTCCTTGCATCCCTTAGCCCTAACCTAATTGTTTGTTATTCACTTACTTTAAATTAGTGTTACATACACCTCTATCTCTCCATCTACCTACCTACACCTCTATCTCTCCATCTACCTACCTACACCTCTATCTCTCCATCTACCTACCTACACCTCTATCTCTCCATCTACCTACCTACCTACACCTCTATCTCTCCATCTACCTACCTACCTTCACCTCTATCTCTCCATCTTCCTACGTACACCTCTATCTCTCGATCTACCTACCTACACCTCTATCTCTCATCTACCTACCTACCTACCTACACCTCTATCTCTCCATCTTCCTACCTACACCTCTATCTCTCCATCTACCTACCTACCTACCTACACCTCTATCTCTCCATCTACCTACCTACCTACCTACACCTCTATCTCTCCATCTTCCTACCTACACCTCTATCTCTCCATCTACCTACCTACCTACACTTCTATCTCTCCATCTACCTACCTACCTACACCTCTATCTCTCCATCTACTTTCCTACCTACCTACACCTCTATCTCTCCATCTACCTACCTACACCTCTATCTCTCCATCTACCTACCTACACCTCTATCTCTCCATCTTCCTACCTACACCTCTATCTCTCCATCTACCTACCTACACCTCTATCTCTCCATCTACCTACCTACACCTCTATCTCTCCATCTACCTACCTACACCTCTATCTCTCCATCTACCTACCTACACCTCTATCTCTCCATCTACCTACCTACACCTCTATCTCTCCATCTACCTACCTACACCTCTATCTCTCCATCTACCTACCTACACCTCTATCTCTCCATCTACCTACCTACACCTCTATCTCTCCATCTTCCTACCTACACCTCTATCTCTCCATCTACCTACCTACACCTCTATCTCTCCATCTACCTACCTACACCTCTATCTCTCCATCTACCTACCTACACCTCTATCTCTCCATCTTCCTACCTACACCTCTATCTCTCCATCTACCTACCTACACCTCTATCTCTCCATCTACCTACCTACACCTCTATCTCTCATCTACCTACCTACCTACCTACACCTCTATCTCTCCATCTTCCTACCTACACCTCTATCTCTCCATCTACCTACCTACCTACCTACACCTCTATCTCTCCATCTACCTACCTACCTACCTACACCTCTATCTCTCCATCTTCCTACCTACACCTCTATCTCTCCATCTACCTACCTACCTACACTTCTATCTCTCCATCTACCTACCTACCTACACCTCTATCTCTCCATCTACTTTCCTACCTACCTACACCTCTATCTCTCCATCTACCTACCTACACCTCTATCTCTCCATCTACCTACCTACACCTCTATCTCTCCATCTACCTACCTACACCTCTATCTCTCCATCTACCTACCTACACCTCTATCTCTCCATCTACCTACCTACACCTCTATCTCTCCATCTACCTACCTACACCTCTATCTCTCCATCTACCTACCTACACCTCTATCTCTCCATCTACCTACCTACACCTCATCTCTCCATCTACCTACCTACACCTCTATCTCTCCATCTTCCTACCTACACCTCTATCTCTCCATCTACCTACCTACCTACCTACACCTCTATCTCTCCATCTACCTACCTACCTACCTACACCTCTATCTCTCCATCTTCCTACCTACACCTCTATCTCTCCATCTACCTACCTACACCTCTATCTCTCCATCTCCATACCTACACTTCTCATCTCTCCTATCTACTCTACTACCTACCTACACTTCTCTCCATCTACTCCATCTACCTACCTACCTACCTACACCTCTATCTCTCCATCTACTACCTACCTTACCCTCTATCTCTCCATCTACCTACCTACACCTCATCCTCCACTACCTACCTACACCTCTATCTCTCCATCTACCTACACCTCTATCTCATCTACCTACACCTCTATCTCTCCATCTACCTACCTACTCACTACCTACCTACCTCATCTCTCCATCTACCTACCTACACCTCTATCTCTCCATCTACCTACCTACCTACACCTCTATCTCTCCATCTACCTACCTACCTACACCTCTATCTCTCCATCTACCACTACCTACACCTCTATCTCTCCATCTACCTACCTACACCTACACCTCTATCTCTCCCATCTACCCTACCTCCCTTACTACTACTACTCTATCTCTCCATCTACCTACCTACCTACACCTCTATCTCTCCATCTTACCTACCTACCTACACCTCTATCTCTCCATCTACCTACCTACACCTCTATCTCTCCATTTACCTACTTACACCTCTATCTCTCCATCTACCTACCTACACCTCTATCTCTCCATCTACCTACCTACCTACACTCTATCTCTCCATCTACCTACCTACACCTCTATCTCTCCATTTACCTACTACACCTCTATCTCTCCATCTACCTACCTACACCTCTATCTCTCCATCTACCTACCTACACCTCTATCTCTCCATCTACCTACCTACCTACACCTCTATCTCTCCATCTACCTACCTACCTACACCTCTATCTCTCCATCTACCTACACTCTACTCTCATCTACCTACCTACACCTCTATCTCTCCATCTACCTACCTACACCTCTATCTCTCCATCTACCTACCTACACCTCTATCTCTCCATCTACCTACCTACACCTCTATCTCTCCATCTACCTACCTACACCTCTATCTCTCCATCTACCTACCTACCTACCTACACCTCTATCTCTCCATCTACCTACCTACACCTCTATCTCTCCATCTACCTACCTACACCTCTATCTCTCCATCTACCTACCTACACCTCTATCTCTCCATTTACCTACCTACCTACCTACACCTCTATCTCTCCATCTTCCTACCTACACCTCTATCTCTCCATCTACCTACCTACCTACCTACACCTCTATCTCTCCATCTTCCTACCTACACCTCTATCTCTCCATTTACCTACCTACCTACCTACACCTCTATCTCTCCATCTTTCTACCTACACCTCTATCTCTCCATCTACCTACCTACCTACCTACACCTCTATCTCTCCATCTACCTACCTACACCTCTATCTCTCCATTTACCTACCTACCTACCTACACCTCTATCTCTCCATCTTCCTACCTACACCTCTATCTCTCCATCTACCTACCTACACCTCTATCTCTCCATCTACCTACCTACACCTCTATCTCTCCATCTACCTACCTACACCTCTATCTCTCCATCTACCTACCTACACCTCTATCTCTCCATCTACCTACCTACACCTCTATCTCTCCATCTACCTACCTACACCTCTATCTCTCCATCTACCTACCTACACCTCTATCTCTCCATCTACCTACCTACACCTCATCTCTCCATCTACCTACCTACACCTCTATCTCTCTATCTTCCTACCTACACCTCTATCTCTCCATCTACCTACCTACCTACCTACACCTCTATCTCTCCATCTACCTACCTACCTACCTACACCTCTATCTCTCCATCTTCCTACCTACTACACCTCTATCTCTCCATCTACCTACCTACACCTCTATCTCTCCATCTACCATACCTACACTTCTATCTCTCCATCTACCTACCTACCTACACTTCTATCTCTCCATCTACCTACCTACACCTCTATCTCTCCATCTACCTACCTACCTACCTACACCTCTATCTCTCCATCTACCTACCTACACCTCTATCTCTCCATCTACCTACCTACACCTCTATCTCTCCATCTACCTACCTACACCTCTATCTCTCCATTTACCTACCTACCTACCTACACCTCTATCTCTCCATCTTCCTACCTACACCTCTATCTCTCCATCTACCTACCTACCTACCTACACCTCTATCTCTCCATCTTCCTACCTACACCTCTATCTCTCCATTTACCTACCTACCTACCTACACCTCTATCTCTCCATCTTTCTACCTACACCTCTATCTCTCCATCTACCTACCTACCTACCTACACCTCTATCTCTCCATCTACCTACCTACACCTCTATCTCTCCATTTACCTACCTACCTACCTACACCTCTATCTCTCCATCTTCCTACCTACACCTCTATCTCTCCATCTACCTACCTACACCTCTATCTCTCCATCTACCTACCTACACCTCTATCTCTCCATCTACCTACCTACACCTCTATCTCTCCATCTACCTACCTACACCTCTATCTCTCCATCTACCTACCTACACCTCTATCTCTCCATCTACCTACCTACACCTCTATCTCTCCATCTACCTACCTACACCTCTATCTCTCCATCTACCTACCTACACCTCATCTCTCCATCTACCTACCTACACCTCTATCTCTCTATCTTCCTACCTACACCTCTATCTCTCCATCTACCTACCTACCTACCTACACCTCTATCTCTCCATCTACCTACCTACCTACCTACACCTCTATCTCTCCATCTTCCTACCTACACCTCTATCTCTCCATCTACCTACCTACACCTCTATCTCTCCATCTACCATACCTACACTTCTATCTCTCCATCTACCTACCTACCTACACTTCTATCTCTCCATCTACCTACCTACCTACACCTCTATCTCTCCATCTACTTTCCTACCTACCTACACCTCTATCTCTCCATCTACCTACCTACACCTCTATCTCTCCATCTACCTACCTACACCTCTATCTCTCCATCTACCTACCTACACCTCTATCTCTCCATCTACCTACCTACACCTCTATCTCTCCATCTACCTACCTACACCTCTATCTCTCCATCTACCTACCTACACCTCTATCTCTCCATCTACCTACCTACCTACACCTCTATCTCTCCATCTACCTACCTACCTACACCTCTATCTCTCCATCTTCCTACCTACACCTCTATCTCTCCATCTACCTACCTACACCTCTATCTCTCCATCTACCATACCTACACTTCTATCTCTCCATCTACCTACCTACCTACACCTCTATCTCTCCATCTTCCTACCTACACCTCTATCTCTCCATCTACCTACCTACACCTCTATCTCTCCATCTACCATACCTACACTTCTATCTCTCCATCTACCTACCTACCTACACCTCTATCTCTCCATCTACTCTCCTACCTACCTACACCTCTATCTCTCCATCTACCTACCTACACCTCTATCTCTCCATCTACCTACCTACCTACACCTCTATCTCTCCATCTACCTACCCACCTACACCTCTATCTCTCCATCTTCCTACCTACACCTCTATCTCTCCATCTACCTACCTACACCTCTATCTCTCCATCTACCTACCTACACCTCTATCTCTCCATCTACCTACCTACACCTCTATCTCTCCATCTACCTACCTACACCTCATCTCTCCATCTACCTACCTACACCTCTATCTCTCCATCTTCCTACCTACACCTCTATCTCTCCATCTACCTACCTACCTACCTACACCTCTATCTCTCCATCTACCTACCTACCTACCTACACCTCTATCTCTCCATCTTCCTACCTACACCTCTATCTCTCCATCTACCTACCTACACCTCTATCTCTCCATCTACCATACCTACACTTCTATCTCTCCATCTACCTACCTACCTACACTTCTATCTCTCCATCTACCTACCTACCTACACCTCTATCTCTCCATCTACTTTCCTACCTACCTACACCTCTATCTCTCCATCTACCTACCTACCTACCTACACCTCTATCTCTCCATCTTCCTACCTACACCTCTATCTCTCCATCTACCTACCTACCTACACTTCTATCTCTCCATCTACCTACCTACCTACACCTCTATCTCTCCATCTACTTTCCTACCTACCTACACCTCTATCTCTCCATCTACCTACCTACACCTCTATCTCTCAATCTACCTACCTACACCTCTATCTCTCCATCTACCTACCTACACCTCTATCTCTCCATCTACCTACCTACACCTCTATCTCTCCATCTACCTACCTACACCTCTATCTCTCCATCTACCTACCTACACCTCTATCTCTCCATCTACCTACCTACACCTCTATCTCTCCATCTACCTACCTACACCTCTATCTCTCCATCTACCTACCTACACCTCTATCTCTCCATCTACCTACCTACACCTCTATCTCTCCATCTACCTACCTACACCTCATCTCTCCATCTACCTACCTACACCTCTTTCTCTCCATCTACCTACCTCCCAATACCTACCTCTCTCGACCTACCTACCTACCTACTTAACTATTCCTCTATCTATTCATCTAATACCAAAACACCAATTCAAGCACAGCATTTCAATTCTATATATAAACAATGAGATGAGTGCGTTGTACAACTCGGCACGGCACAGCACAGCACTCAGTCTAACCCTTAAAGTCCAGGGGCCGCACGTTGTAGAAGGGGGCCCAGTGGTGCGTGGGGCCCGGCAGGTCCAGGTACCAGGGCGCCGCCAGAATCACCTGCAGTCCAGCCTTTGTGGCTCTGCGCACTTTGCACAAGTAACAAGGCTGTTTCCACACCTCCACCACAGAGAGGAAGCTGCGCTAAAACACAGAAGCTAATTTAAAGCTTCCATGTCACTTTATTATGCTAAAGCTAGAGATTTTATACTGGCTTCTTTATTATGCTAAAGCTAGAGATTTTACAATAGCTTCTTTATTATGCTAAACCTAAAGATTTTATGCTAGCTTCTTTATTATGCTAAAGCTAGAGATTTTATGCTAGCTTCTTTATTATGCTAAAGCTAGAAATGTTACACTAGCTTCTTTATTATGCTAAAGCTAAATATTTTATACTAGCTTCTTTATTATGCTAAGAGAGTTTATACTAGCTTCTTTATTATGCTAAAGATAGAGATTTTATACTAGCTTCTTTATTATGCTAAAGCTAGATTTTATTGTATTTTAGTCTAGAGCAGGGGTGTCCAAACTTTCTAGTAGTCCAGGGGCCGACATCACAAACTGAAAAACTGTCTCGACTGACATCAGGCTGTTGTGAGATTTAAAATGATCTATAACAGAGCTGCAGTTGGCTGAATGACACATGCATACCATCTCGCCAGCTACTTTAGCACCATTAACGGAAGTGACACAATCAAAAAACCAAAAGTCAACAAGGTCTATATTGGCTGAGCTGAAGTTGGATGGATGACACTGTGAACTCAAAGACTGTGGGTTAGCGAGGCAGAGGGTTGAAAGTGTACCTGGTGATGCAACACTGACATTTCCTCTTCATTACACATTGTTATAAAATACATACTTTTTCATGATAATCGAACACGTCTTGCCAAACAATGGCAGTTTTGTTGAGGGCCGTGGTCATGTTCACGATACTGGAACCAGATCAGAAAGAAATTATCTTTAAATACCTCTTAGACTTTCATATACTGTTTTTTGTCGTACCTCTCCATGTAAAACGCCTCTAACTTTGTAAAGTCTGTTCCGAATCCCATTTTCTTCATGAAGACCTGAACATCTGGGTTTGACTTCCTGAGACAGAAACATCAAAGTAACAGTTTTAGGGAATGGTTAGCTTCATGTTGCGACAGTGGCTCAGTTGGTAGAGCATTGGCCTTTGAGCCTGAAGGTCGTGGGTTCGAGCCCACCGTGAGACCTTCTCCACCGACTCCCACTGATGACTGCTGTCGTTGTGTCCTTGGGCAAGACACTTAACCTACTTTGCCTATAAGGAGAGTGGAAGTGATGTTCGCTGCTTGCCTTGATGTGTATGTGTGTGTGTATATTTGTATGCGTATATGTGTGTGTATATGTGTATTTGTATGTGTATGTGTGTGTGTGTATGTGTATTTGTATGCGTATGTGTGTGTATATGTGTATATGTATGTGTATGTGTGTGTGTATATGTGTATATGTATATTTGTATGCGTATATGTGTGTGTATATGTGTATATGTATATTTGTATGCGTATGTGTGTGTATATGTGTATATGTATATTTGTATGGGTATGTGTGTGTGTATATTTGTATGCGTATATGTGTGTGTATATGTGTATATGTATATTTGTATGCGTATGTGTGTGTGTATATGTGTATATGTATATTTGTATGCGTATATGTGTGTGTATATGTGTATATGTATATTTGTATGCGTATATGTGTGTGTATATTTGTATGTGTGTGTGTATATTTGTATGTGTGTGTGTATATGTGTATATGTATATTTGTATGTGTATGTGTGTGTGTATATGTGTATATGTATATTTGTATGCGTGTGTATATGTGTATATGTATATTTGTATGTGTATATGCGTGTGTATATGTGTATGCATCAAACTGAAATTTCAGACAGATAAAGGACCTTCTTATTATTTTTGTTACTGTGATTTAAACTGCCAGTCATTTATACTTCATGATTAAGAAATTCAATAAAAAGGCAGACTCCCATGTTATCGAACCCTGCAGACGCCAAAGTGGTCGATTTTCTTCTGAATCCAGATAAATAGTGTAGGTTTGGCATTTGCCTTCATACCAGCAGGAGAAGTCCACCTCATCGCCTCCTAAGTGGATGTAGGAGTCGGGGAAGACGCGGGACACTTCTGCGAACAGCGACGCCATGAACCTGAAAGTGGACTTTACCGACGGATCCACAGGACCGAACCGTCCGTTGGGAGAAGTGCCGCTGTAGCAGGGGGTGAGGAGGCCCGGCTGCCCTGGATGGAAGCAGCAGAGTGGTCTTAGTTTGTACAGAGTCTTATGAACACAGAGGGGTATGAACCATAGACTGTGCCTTTGCCCCAGGACGCAGTGTGACCCGGAGAATCGAACTCAGGGAGAACTCTGATGCCGCGAAGCCGAGCGTGTGAGATCACCCTCTGCACGTCCTCCTGAGTGTAGATGTGGGTCTCTGGGTGGTACGCTCCCTGCATTTGGACAAAGATACTTGTTTTTATTATTTTACCGTAATTTGAAGAGCTTCCAGCTCGTTCAGAATACAGCAGCTCGTTCAGAATACAGCAGCTAGGATCTTAACAGGTACCAAAAGGAGGGAGCACATAACTCCGGTGTTAAAATCACTCCACTGGCTCCCTGTGGAGTGCAGAATAAAGTTTAAAATCCTACTCTTAACATATAAAGCCATAAATGGCTTGGCTCCTTCTTATCTCCAAGACACGTTAGTGTCGTATCAACCAAGTCGAGCGTTGCGCTCACAAAACGCCAGACGTCTGGTGGTCCCTAAGGTCTCAAAGGTCACTGTTGGTGGCAGAGCATTTAGCTACCAAGCTCCTTTACTGTGGAATCAGCTTCCCATTTATGTTAAGGAAGCAGATACGGTCTCCACATTCAAGGCCAGGCTTAAAGCACTTTACTTTAATTTAGCATATAATTAGGTAATATATAATATGTAGTGTATATATTATATATATATGCTGTATTATGTTATATATTATGTTATATATTATTCAATAATGTATTGTGTTATGTTGTATATTATGTTATATATTATGCTGTATGTTATTCTTTATTCAAGGCTAGGTTTAAAACAGTCCTCTTTAGTTTAGCATATGGCTAGGAAGGTAAGACTCGGAGAAGGTTAAACTCCTCAGAGTGTTAGTCAAGCTGCATAGGGAGTCAGTTTGCTGGGAGAAGTATGGTAACTTGAGCACTATCCTCTCCTCCTTCCTACTTTATCTGTTTAGCATTTTTAGGATTCTGACTGTAGTTTGTTCATTGCTATTCACCCGTTGTCCCATTGTCTGTTTCATGGTACGATGACGGGATCTCTGAGCCTGGCCTCTTCCATCTACACCTGCGGACTGCCCCGCCCGACCCGCCTGGGAGTGCTTCAGTCCTGCACCGGACCTGTCCACGTTCAGCGTCCACTGGTCCACGTTCTGTAGCTAGCTTAGGTCCTGGATCATTAGTCTGTCCGTCCGGAGGAGAGGATCCCTTTCTCATATGGGTCTCCCTCCCTGTGGGTTTCCCTAGTTCTCCTCCAAGGTTTCTCACTTTTTCCCACTGGGTTTTTTAAGAGTTTTTCCTTGTCGATGCAGGAGGGTCTTGTTGGACAGTTAGTGTCCAACAGAAAGGATTGGTGATGATCAGGACACTTTAGCATTCTACAACATGTATGGACATTTTCTTCTGTGTGTGCTTTATACTGTATTCTTCATGTGTTTTAACTGTTGATTCTCTGACCTGTGTTGGTGATTTCAATGGTTTTGTTAAGTCCTCTGAGATGACTTCTGTTGTGACCTAGGGCTATACAAGAATAAATTGTATTGTATTGTATTGTATTGTAATTCTCCTTGTTTGTACAGACATGGCTCATGCCGGGCCTTCTGTTCAGTTTAGAAAATTCTGGATTTTTGCAGTAATGTGTCATAAATAACATTATTGTGTCTAAGATCAACTACTGGAATATAAACTTAGAGAACAAACTGAACCTATGAGGATGTGTAAATGTTTAGGAATTAATGTACGGTATAAAATGTATAATATGACATTTGTTTACATGTGTTGTTTTTGTGGATTTCAAGGTGTTTCCACTTAAAAACTTTAGGAATCAGAATATCTCTGACCTAGCCTGGCCTTATCCATCTGTACTCTCCGCTCAATCATCATCTGGGTAACGTCTGGGTCTGGTCCCTGTGTTTGTGATTACAATCGGTTGAATTCCATCCGACCAATCAGAGAGCGCGGGAGGCGGGTGTTGTAGTTAGATGTGGGTGACGTCAAGAGTTTGCGCCGAACGGGAAGGTTGTAGTTTGGCGAAGAATACAATAGAACCAGACTGGAATACTTTATTATCAAGAAATTGAAGCCGGAGCAAGAGGAAGGTTTAGTAAATGTAATCGCTGCAAAGATTGTGGCGCTACTCCCCACGGGCTCTGTTAGCGGCAAAAGAGATGGCTAAAGCTAGGCTACATGCTAAAGCTAGGCTAAATGCTAAGTGCTAACCTCTCACTCGGACGCATTACATACGTCACGGTAAACTCAGATCCAATCGTTTCAATCTGTAAAAGTTAACCCCTCCCACCTGTTAATGAAATTAGTACAAAATGAAATGTGTACTATGGTGTGGTACGACCAGGCTATGTCTGACCTGAACTTTTGTAAAAACTTTTCTGTTTTTACCTCCTTTTCTTATTTGTTGTGTTTTTATTGTTATTTGTGTAAATGTCATCTTTATGAAGAAGTCTTTCTTTTTAAAAGGCAAAAAGAAACTTCCCACAGGTGCAAAGGTTTTATAATTATAAGGTTCAAGCAGACTTTATATCCTTGAACCTTATCTCCTTCTCTTCAAACCGATGTGGCCAGATTTAAACTTCCTGTAATCATGTGGAGTCATTAAATCTAGCACCTGACTGGACAGGTTTGGAAAGGTCCGGCTTTGGTACGGGAAGGACGGGTCATCCACAATGTGCCAGTGAAACACGTTGAATTTACTGTAAACCATTGCGTCCTGAAACAACAACAACACGTCATTAATCAAGTCTGAAACGCACAAAACGACACGATTTCAGATGAATTCACCAGAGTTTTAAGTATCGCCTGCAACGGCAAATAATGACGGGACGTGTCCAGTAATATTCCACGGAACGGGAAGCGAGGGAAGTCCTGGATGTCGGTTTTGTTGACGTAACGCTGTGAAGAAAAAGTAGCTTATTAAAAATCTGTGTGTCGTCGTTCATTCATTAGAGCTGTTTTTAAAAACGTAGGACCAACATCTGTTCATCTCAACTTTCCAAAACTCAGCTCAGACAGAACACTGCAAAAACTGATCAGATATGAGGTAATAAAAGCTGGAATTTAGTGGTTTTTATCTTAATTTGACACATTCTCCAACGAGACAAAGGCATTTAGTTTTATTTTTCTCATTCCAAGGGCGACATTTGTGCATATTTTTAAAACAAGATCATTTTGCTTTGTCCCGTTGGAGAATCTAGTTTAAAGGCGCAGTCAGAATGTGCTCAGATTAAGACATTTTTGACTTATTTTTCACCACTTTTTGCAGTGTGTGAAGAGACAGTGAAGACAAAAGCATCATCACCCACTGAATTTCAATGTATTTTTCAATATTTCATTCTTCATTGAGTTGGATCAACATGCCAATGAATGGTCGAACCAATTCACGATGTTCTGATATCATTTTTAATCTTTTGACGTCTCGTTGTTCCCGTTTACTGTTCGAATAATGTCAAATGAAAACAAATGTTGATCCTGGGTGCGTTTAGAGCGACACAGATGAACGTTCCAGAAGCTTACGGAGCCTGAAGCATCTTGATAGACGATCTGACTGAAACTCTCCAGACCTGTTAGAGACAGTTTGAACATACAGTAAGAGACATTGATCATTGTTTTGGTAATAAATATTAGTCGACAATTTCACCTCTGAGTGCGCCCCAGACTGATTCTGCGTTGAGAAAGCCATGTCCTGCTATGACTGTAAGGTTGTCTGAAACAGCAAAAAGGTTATACAAGATAAGATCTACTTTATTAATCTCACACAGGAGAAATTTATTAAATTGTATTTGATAATAAGCAAGTTTATGATCATTTTACTTACAGCGTTCGGATGAGTCTTGAGCTGGGAATCCTTCACAGTCGGCTTGGTCCACACTGACCTCTAAAGTAAAAGGCGCCTCGTACAATGGGCTCCGATAAGGACTTTCTGAGTGGGAACATCAAAACGTACATTATTAGGAGAACGAGAAAAACTATGTGTCGCACCAGCCATAGATGCATAATAAAGAAGGACAAAAATTATGATTTCACTGATTCTCAAGACCCACAGAATATCACGTGATATTACTATGTGAAATATGAAACCAGATTCTGAAAGACTCTAGCTATTTTTGTTCTCCTGTAATCCCCGGTCGAACAGAGGGAAGTTTGACAGAAATCACCAGTCTCAGACAAATACGTCAATGGCAGTCAATGAGTCAAAAGCACGGCCTATTATTACATATTTTACGGTAAATAAAATATAAAATGTATTAATTTCACACATAAATCGCTCTAGAGTATGAGTCGCACCCCCGGCCAAACTATGACAAAAACGGAGACTTGTAATCAGAAAAATAAGGTACTTGCCCTTGTATATGTTCACAAAGCTTTGAAAAATGTGTAGAAAACAAAGCTACATTGTATCCATTCACCAGGGGAACAACAGGTGCCTCCACAAAAGGTCAAAGGTGACAATGACCGTCACAAATGAGCTTTCTGCCTGAACAGACAAAACACTGCAAAAACTCAGGGAAAATAAGTCAAAAATGTCTCAAATTTGGGTAAAAATGTATCTCAATTTGAGGCATTCTGACAAGATTTGCCAATGGGACAATGAGCAGAAGGATCTTGTTTTTAAATATACAAGAAATGTATCAAACTAGTTTCAATACACATACAGAGATAAGATCAATACAAACATATACATTATTTATCCGTGGAATCCTTTGAATGTCAGAAAGTGAAACATAGAACCACATGTGTCACTGTGTCCCAGACCCTCAGGCTTCAGAATGTTACAGCTTCTTTATTATGCTAAAGATAGAGATTTTATACTTGCTTCTTTATTATGCTAAAGTTAGAGATTGTATTTTACTTTCCCATAGAGTTATTGTTCATTTATCTCCCTACTGTTCTGTACCTGGTGATGCAACACTGACATTTCCCTACTGTGGGACGAATAAAGGATATCTTACTATAATGTACTTACGTGTTTTATCATAATCAGGGAAGATGATGCGGAAGTACCTCCTGAAGGCCTGGTCCAGCACCGAGCAGCCGTCTTTAGCCGCAGACTGAGCTCCGTGAGTGAAGTGAAAGGCTCGGGGCTGAAGAGCGAAGCGCTGCGGGGAGCTGCTGTAACTTTGGGGCAGAGGCCAAACTCCTCGCGCTGCGTGGATCCAGAGACTCACAAACAGGAGGAGGATCAGCGGAAGTCGGTTGGGTTTAGTCAGATCCATGGCTCAGACTTGAACTGGTGAGAGACAGGTGCAGCTTCAGATCTGCCGCAGGTGAGAGAGTCACGTGGGCCCGGGTCATGTGACCGTAACAAAGCAAAGAGGGAAGTACATTTCCAAAAGTCATAATCGTGGATTTAATCAAAGAGAATAAAAGTACCAAGAGGCGAAACGCAATAGAACGATGACTTATCTATACTCTTACAATACTTATACATGGCTCTTTCTCTTTTTAGAATGCCTAGAATTGAAATCTAATGTATTTGTAAATGTTCAGGCAACACAATTTGGATTTTACACAACATCTCATAACGTCATGTGAATCTCAATTAAAGTCAATGGTGGCATGTGCCACATGATGTATTCTGTTTTAAACCAGCTGAGTCTGCATGTATTTCAATATCCCTGCATCAGGAATTAAACAGAACCACGTGTCCAATGTATAGACTGTTATAGTATCACATGCTAACATGTACAGTAGTATCATATGCTAACATGTACAGTAGTATCATATGCTGACATGTACAGTAGTATCACATGTTGACATGTACAGTAGTATCACATGTTGACATGTACAGTAGTATCACATGTTGACATGTACAGTAGTATCACATGCTAACATGTACAGTAGTATCACATGCTAACATGTACAGTAGTATCACATGCTAACATGTACAGTAGTATCACATGCTAACATGTACAGTAGTATCACATGCTAACATGTACAGTAGTATCACATGTTGACATGTACAGTAGTATCACATGTTGACATGTACAGTAGTATCACATGGTAACATGTACAGTAGTATCACATGTTGACATGTACAGTAGTATCACATGTTGACATGTACAGTAGTATCACATGCTAACATGTACAGTAGTATCACATGCTAACATGTACAGTAGTATCACATGCTAACATGTACAGTAGTATCACATGTACAGTAGTATCACATGCTAACATGTACAGTAGTATCACATGCTAACATGTACAGTAGTATCACATGCTAACATGTACAGTAGTATCACATGCTAACATGTACAGTAGTATCACATGTTGACATGTACAGTAGTATCACATGTTGACATGTACAGTAGTATCACATGTTGACATGTACAGTAGTATCACATGCTAACATGTACAGTAGTATCACATGTACAGTAGTATCACATGGTAACATGTACAGTAGTATCACATGTTGACATGTACAGTAGTATCACATGTTGACATGTACAGTAGTATCACATGGTAACATGTACAGTAGTATCACATGTACAGTAGTATCACATGGTAACATGTACAGTAGTATCACATGTTGACATGTACAGTAGTATCACATGTTGACATGTACAGTAGTATCACATGTTGACATGTACAGTAGTATCACATGGTAACATGTACAGTAGTATCACATGCTAACATGTACAGTAGTATCACATGTACAGTAGTATCACATGGTAACATGTACAGTAGTATCACATGTTGACATGTACAGTAGTATCACATGTTGACATGTACAGTAGTATCACATGTTGACATGTACAGTAGTATCACATGCTAACATGTACAGTAGTATCACATGCTAACATGTACAGTAGTATCACATGCTAACATGTACAGTAGTATCACATGTACAGTAGTATCACATGCTAACATGTACAGTAGTATCACATGCTAACATGTACAGTAGTATCACATGCTAACATGTACAGTAGTATCACATGCTAACATGTACAGTAGTATCACATGTTGACATGTACAGTAGTATCACATGTTGACATGTACAGTAGTATCACATGTTGACATGTACAGTAGTATCACATGCTAACATGTACAGTAGTATCACATGTACAGTAGTATCACATGGTAACATGTACAGTAGTATCACATGTTGACATGTACAGTAGTATCACATGTTGACATGTACAGTAGTATCACATGGTAACATGTACAGTAGTATCACATGTACAGTAGTATCACATGGTAACATGTACAGTAGTATCACATGTTGACATGTACAGTAGTATCACATGTTGACATGTACAGTAGTATCACATGTTGACATGTACAGTAGTATCACATGGTAACATGTACAGTAGTATCACATGCTAACATGTACAGTAGTATCACATGTACAGTAGTATCACATGGTAACATGTACAGTAGTATCACATGTTGACATGTTCAGTAGTATCACATGTTGACATGTTAGCATGTAGTCAAACATGTACAGTAGTTTCATCACTGAATATTTGAACCCTCAGAGCTAAAGACTTACTTCAATATTCTTGCATTAATCTATTACAGATTTATAAACATACAAGTATATAATTGTGCTCTAGAGTATACAGGTTGATAAGTCATATGTGTCTATTTTTCTATATGTTGTTTCTTTTTGTATATATATATGTTGTAATTTTATGTAATTACAATTCCCTGTAGTGCTGTGTGCTCCTCACTCTTCTGTTCTGTTCTGCTGATGTGGAAGAATAAACAATAATATTAACTATTATTATAGATCCATGTTAATATTATGAATGTTAATGTTATTTCCTGCTGGTGTTGAGCCGCTGTGACGCGGGCCTCGTCAGGCCGTGACGCTGCGGCTCTTTGTTGGCTCCGGGGTTTTGTTGTTATTTTCGCTGCGGCTGAAGAGGAGCCTTTGGACCGACTGTGTTTCCGAGACCAACGTTTGAGACGTTTCAGGCTCAGTGCGTCTGTCACGGGCCGAGAACACCCCAGGAATGGACTCAGACGAAGGCTATAACTATGAGTACGACGATGAAGAGGAGGAATGCAGCGAAGACAGCGTCGAAGAGGAGCCCGAAGACGACACCCTGGACCTGGGAGAAGTGGAGCTGGTCGACCCCGTGGTGGCCGGAGGAGAGAGGGACGAGTGCGGAGAGACAGGCGGAGGAGGACACGGGCCTGGGGACGAGGAGGAGGAGGACTACCGCTTTGAGGTCCTGACAGCCGAGCAGATCCTGCAGCATATGGTCGAGTGTATCCGCGAGGTCAACGAGGTCATCCAGGTGGGTGTTTGGGCTTGTCATCGTCAGGAAACACCGCGGTCCAGCCTCAGCGGAGGAGGCCTGGAGCTTAGCTTAGCATTTAGCTTTAGCTTCAAACTAGATCAAACTTAACTTCCGCATAAGCGCCGTCTTTAGCGGACATTGGAGCAGTGTGTGAGTGTGGGCTGGAGCTGGACTATCACCACAGCCATGGTCCCCACATGGTACCCACATGGTCCCCACATGGTCCTTTACATTTCAGACTTTTACTTCCTGGAAGTGTCCTGATCCTGGGGAAAAGTTGGGAGCAGCTTTTGCTAACGTTATGCTAATGCTAACGTTATGCTAATGCTAACGTGCTAGTTAGCATTTTAGCTCACATGAAACCGTCATGTTCCTGCATGAAAGGAGCAGTTATAGTCACAGCTGGATGTGAGACTTCTCTGTGCTGTCATTTCATGAATTGTCACATTTTCTGAGAGTAATGAAAGTCTTTAGAAGTGTGGACTTTAGCCTGGAACTAGTCAGGGCTATATTTGGTCCGAAAGGCTTGGTCATCAGGATGTACCGTTAGACTAGTGACTGCGGCTTCTGACGGGATCCAAAAGTTAACGTTAAAAAACTGTGTTGTTTGTGTTTGAGTGTTAGGATTGTGTCGCCAGGATGAAGGAGACACTTTATCTTCTCTGAGTTGGACCTTCCTCCATTTCCGTCTCTCGGCCTCCTCTGGTCCTCACAGAAACCATGTGTGCTTTATTTCACTCCACTTTCTTTTGTGTTTGTTAGTTTTACACTGATTGTGATTCATCTGATGCAATCCGTCTGTAACATACTGGCATTTGTTCACCACAATGTTTTAAGTACTTTTCTTTATAAACCGCTGGGCTTTTGTTTATTAACTGCTTTGTCAAAGACCCCATCTTTCACTTTTTCAAATATTTCAACCTCCTTATGAGCAGCATTCAGTAGGAAATGCAATTTTATTTGTTTATTAGCACAGTTTATACATAAGGACACTCAAAGTGCTGAACAAAACAAGATGGAGACAGTCACGCTAGGCATTAAAATAAATAATCACAGAACATTAAAAAGAGTTAAGATAAAATCCTTCAGTTGTAGCAGCTAAACAGAACTGTTTTAACCTGGATTTGAACATTTTCAGAGAAGAAGCCTGTCTCACATTTTCAGCATAAATCTGAAATGCAGCCTTCCCATGTTTAGTTCTGGCTCTGGGAACAGCAGGAGGCCAGTCCCTGTGCTCCCCAGAGTCCCAGCGGGAGGCCAGTCCCTGTGCTCCCCAGAGTCCCAGCATGACACACATTAAAACCTTGCAGTGATTGTTAATGTTATCACCCAACAGTCAAACAGCAGAACATGCAAATAGCCATAAATAATGGGAACACATGGATTTGTGCTGATTTTGTATGAAGCTGTGTTGATTCTGTTGAAACGGATGTATTATTTTTTTTATTAGTTATTTCAAACACTGACCTTTGTGCCAGGTTCTCCAGTGTTTTCTACAGTTGTCATTAAACCAAGATACTTCTGCTGAGATTCACAATATCATTGTTCCCAGAGATTCAGATTCAGACGACTTTATTTATCCTACCAGGGTCAAGAGAAGAGGTGACAATACATGTGTCAGTGATGAAAGAAACTAAAGAACTCAAAGGAGCGCACACACACGGCAAGAACATGCAAAAACTCTATACAAAAATCCCCTGCGCCACCAAAGGGAATGAAACCCAAGATTTGTGTGTGCAGTGAGATGCAAGTTCTGACCCAAATGATGCTAATGTCCAGTCCTCCTCCAGGTGCTGCTAATGTCTGATCCAGAACAGTTGAGGAGGACGTGTCACTTCCAACAAAAATGATGAGAACTTTATCTGTGTCTTGTGCATTCGCTGGAGATTGAACCCAGGACCTTAACACACCACACTAGGCATTGATTGTTCATAAAATGCCAGTTGCTACATGGACAATAGTAAGTTGTCCATAGTGATGTCACACATTGGCAGCTGCTGTTTTCCCAAGGGCTTTCTATGCAAATGAACGAGCAAACAAGGACATATTAAAACAGTTTGAAGATTGTAAACTTCAAGGACCCAATCGGGGATTAGAGCTCGGGCTTGATTTGTTTTTGATTAAAATGTAAGAAGAATTAAAAATAAAATAAAAACACTGCACTTGAATTGAAGGCCCCACTCCACAATTTGAAATCTTCCACTTCTGGTGAAAAAGTGTGGTGTGTTCAGGTGAAAGTCTGAAGGAAAGGACGTCTGTATAACATGTAATAAATGTTTACACCCCCCTCTGGCACGCCACATCGGACGAGGCGGGTCGGAGAAGGAATGTCCCATCAGAAAGATCCACATGTTCTGTGTCTCTCCAACGATGTCTGTCTGAAATATGTCTGTTTTGCTCTCTGCTGTTGAATTACTGTCATAAGGAGCGCGGAGATATGAAAATAGTGTACGCAGCCAGCCTTGATGTTTATTTACGAACTGCATTTCTCCATTCTGAGATGATAAAGTCTCATCTCGCATGACCTCACTCAGACTTTTGCTCTTGTCTTCATCAGAACCCAGCAACAATTACTCGAATCCTGCTTAGTCACTTTAACTGGGACAAAGAAAAGCTCATGGAAAGGTGAGCGCTGCTGTGGTAGTCTGCGCTGAAAAGGCAAAAACATTGTCTGACCGTTCTCTCTCTCTCCGCAGGTATTTCGACGGAAACCTGGATAAACTTTTCTCAGAGTGTCACGTCATTAACCCTAGTAAAAAGCCCCGGATTCGCCCGCCAATCAACACCCGATCCTCCGCACAAGACATGCCCTGTCAAATCTGCTATCTCAACTTCCCCAACTCGGTACGACTTCTGTTCATGTGTTTTATTCATAAGTCATTTCTAGATACTAATAAACGACAGTAGCTCAGTTGGTAGAGCATTGGCCTTAAGCCCAGAAGGTCGTGGGTTCTGTACCTTCTCCACCGACTCCCACTGATGACCGCTGTCGTTGTGTCCTTGGGCAAGACACTTAACCCCACTTTGCCCAAAGCCCCCACTGAAAGATCAAGGCTATGCTCACACTCAGAGAGCAGCCGTCCTCCTGTGGACTCACCACCTGCAGAGGGTCAGTGAGGGGCTGGTGCTATGAGACTTGGGTGGCATCTCTGACTGCCACCCCCCTGACCCAGAAATGGATTAAAGGGTAGAAAATGGATGGAGATACTAATAAAACTTTGGACTTTTCTGCTCCTAGTATTTCACAGGCCTAGAGTGTGGACACAAGTTCTGTATGCAGTGTTGGGGAGATTACCTGACGACCAAAATTATAGAAGAAGGAATGGGGCAGGTGAGTTGTGAGTCGTGAGCGGTCTTTGCTGCTGTGTCTTTTTGTTTTTTCTAACGTGTGTCTCTGTGTTTTCAGACCATTTCGTGCCCAGCTCATAGTTGTGACATACTGGTGGATGACAACACAGTAATGTAAGTTCTAAACGTGTAATGATCAGACCTAAAGCAGCCGAGTTAAGGCCACTTTTAGAGACGGAGACAGAGACATGGAACAAACCGACGATATACAATACACAACACAGACACTGATGTACGTGTGATCAGAGCTCCTCCTCCTCCTCTTCTTCTTCCTCTTCCTCCTCCTCCTCCTCCTCCTTCCCAGCGTCTCTTACTCCAGAGGAAGCTCCCGTCGTCTGTGGAGTCTCACAATAGTCACATGTTGCTGCAGTATTTTTCTAAGAAACTTGGAGCGCTCTCATCAACAGCACTTTGTCATCCTTGTGCTGTCCTCGGGTCAAATAACCACCACAGCGATTCAAAAATACCCTATTACCCTTTTTTTCTACCTGAATTTTGATGATTTTTCCCCACTTAATGAGCTCTGGGTCATTTAGACTCTTTCAGACCCTGATTTGGGGCCTAAATAAGCCCAGTTTTATTTATTTTTAAATTGCTTATAGAGTTATTGTTCCTTGTGCTGTGTGCTCCTCAACACTGACATTTATCCGCTGTGGGACCAATAAAGAATCTCTAATCTTAATCCATTTTGACCCGAGGGTTGCACGAGGGTTAAATGAACCCACTGCGGCTTTTTCTTTATGGTGGAAATCCCTAAAATTACAACGGCTATAATTGTAATTAAAAAAAAGTGCTTTTACAAGTTTTTGTTAATTTATATTTTTCATTTCAAATTGATATTTCTTCATTAAATCAAAGCTGCAAACATTTGAATGAGGAATGAAAATGTTGATGGTGATGATCCACGCTGACTAAATGAACGGTTTGGGAGTCAGTGCCTCAGGTCCGATCGTCTCAGGTCCGATCGTCTCTGGTCCGATCGTCTCGGGTCCGATCGTCTCGGGTCCGATCGTCTCGGGTCCGATCGTCTCGGGTCCGATCGTCTCGGGTCCGATCGTCTCAGGTCTCGGGTCCGATCGTCTCGGGTCCGATCGTCTCGGGTCCGATCGTCTCGGGTCCGATCGTCTCGGGTCCGATCGTCTCAGGTCTCAGGTCCGATCGTCTCGGGTCCGATCGTCTCGGGTCTGATTCTTTAATGTGAGTTCCTGTGCATGTAGTGCGTCCCAGTGAATCGTGGCTAATCTGACTCTAAAGCTGGTCCTAATTGTCTTAACCTACATTTGCAACCCACCGACAGCGTTCTCCTGCGACTCTCACCTTTTCATGTGTTTCCAGGCGCCTCATCACAGACTCAAAAGTGAAGTTGAAATACCAGCATTTAATCACAAATAGCTTTGTAGAGGTAAGTTTGTACTCTTTTCTGTGGGGAGTGGGAAACGTCAAACTGCTTTGTATCATGAGTAAAAGAACATTATAAAGACAAAGGGTTCTTTCAACACTGCAGCATGTTCTTATGTTCAACAGATATTAGATCTGTGGGTTTCAACATGACCCTTCAAACAAAACACACTTCTCCTTGAAGGAAAGGTCCTTAGAATGTTGCATAAACAGGAAACTCCTTTAGAGCCACAAGGACAGAGACTGATTAATGATATTGTTCATGGAGTTATGGACTTTGACTGTAACAAAAACATCCTTCAGGAAGCTGCTGTTCTGCTTTTCTTTTCTTCTGTAGATCGTGAAATAAACGGTCTCTGTTCATATCATCATTAGGAGTCTATCCTGATGGTGATATTGTACTTTAAAGTCCCAGACCAGTCCCAGACCAGTCCCAGACCAGTCCCAGACCAGTCCCAGACCAGTCCCAGACCAGTCCCAGACCAGTCCCAGACCAGTCCCAGACCAGTCCCGGTGCTGTGTCCTGCAGAGGCCTCCTGTTGTTTACACAGAAATGCAGTTTTCTTTAATCTTCCGCCGTGTGGTATTTAACAAAGATGTTTGAACATGGACGGATTATTCTTCCATCACTAAAAAGCTTTTTAACCTCAGCCTCAGCGTCAAACTTTATAAGAAAATCTGAAACCTAAATGATGAAAATCCAAAGTTTTATTTGACTGATGTTTCTTCTTTGCTTTACAAAGACTGTTTTAGGATCTGTTTTTCGATAAAGGCCTTTCTAAATATTATTATTCATTAATTAACACCAGATTAAAACACACTTTATTTTTTAACTAAAGCATTAACAGACAATTCAAAAGTCCAGTTTTGATGATCAGTAAAATCCAGAATAATCTGGAACCCTCTCTTTTTAAAGTGCAATCGGCTTCTGAAGTGGTGCCCCGCCCCCGACTGCCACCACGTGGTCAAAGTCCAGTACCCAGACGCCAAACCCGTCCGCTGCAAGTGCGGCCGGCAGTTCTGGTCAGTCCATGGTCTGTTCACTGTGTTTTAAATAAAACCTTCAGACTAACTGCACTTTCTACGTTCACAGCTTCAACTGTGGCGAGAACTGGCACGACCCGGTCAAGTGTAAGGTAAGAACCACTCAGTCTGAGCCTCGCCATGTTTTACTCACGGGAGTCATTTCAACATTCTCTTGTTTTAGTGGCTGCGAAAATGGATCAAGAAATGTGACGACGACAGCGAGACGTCAAACTGGATCGCGGCGAACACTAAGGTAGAGTTAAAGTGACTAAAGCGTCTTCACCACAGCGCTCTGTAACGTCACATTCACCTTTTCAGGAGTGTCCAAAATGCCACGTTACCATCGAGAAAGACGGAGGATGCAACCACATGGTGTGTCGAAACCAGAACTGCAAAGCAGAGTTCTGCTGGGTGTGTCTGGGCCCCTGGGAGCCCCATGGATCCGCCTGGTACAACTGTAACCGATACAACGAAGATGACGCCAAGGCAGCCAGAGACGCTCAGGAGGTAGCACTTTGCCGACCGATTGTTCTGCTGCTTTTTCTTACAACGTTTATCCTTAAGTTTGTTTTATTACAAAGAACGAGGAGCTGCTTTTAGGCTCAGAACGTGAGTCACACAGACTGAGGCTGTAGACCCGGGACTGAGGCTGTAGACCCGGGACTGAGGCTGTAGACCCGGGACTGAGGCTGTAGACCCGGGACTGAACTGAGGCTGTAGACCCAGAGGACTGAGGCTGTAGACCCAGAGGACTGAGGCCCACAATAGTAAACACATTGTAAAAAGGATAAATCAAACCTGAGTCTCGTAAGTTTTTCATGTGAATCCAAAATGGTTGTATTGCCCGATGTTATACATACAGTGGTGTTGTGTTATTACATGTGTTGTGTTGTGTTATTACATGTGTTGTGTTGTGTTATTACATGTGTTGTGTGTGTTGTTTGTTGCAGCGCTCGCGGGCCGCTCTGCAGAGGTACCTGTTCTACTGTAACCGTTACATGAACCACATGCAGAGTCTGCGCTTCGAGCACAAGCTTTACGCTCAGGTGAAGCAGAAGATGGAGGAGATGCAGCAGCACAACATGTCGTGGATCGAGGTGCAGTTCCTGAAGAAGGCGGTGGACGTCCTGTGCCAGTGCCGCTCCACGCTCATGTTCACCTACGTCTTTGCCTTCTACCTCAAGAAGAACAACCAGTCCATCATCTTTGAGGTGACTGCGCCCACATTGTTATTATTATTATTATTATTGTTATTGTTATTGTTATTATTATTATTGTTATTATTCTTATTGTTATTGTTGTTATTATTATTAGTATTGTTATTATTATTATTATTATTATTGAGCCAGTGAAGGGTTGTTTTTGCCCATGTACATCACAGGAGTCACGCTTTGTTAGTGAAGGTCGGAGCCAAAAGTGTTTAATCACTATTTTGGTACAAATTAATTTTCTTTGGCATGAGTAAGTTTGGATTCAACCACAACTGAGACAAATATTTAAAAAAGTGAAATACAAGAATGATGGTTATATAAAAATACATGTTTATTTTAGAACAGATAGAATTATAGTTGGACCACTGATTTGGTCTCGCGGGCCGGATTTGGCCCCCAGGCCCGAGTTTGACCGGTTGTGTATTTGAATGTCTTTCCTGTGGTTTCTCAGAACAACCAGGCCGACTTGGAGAACGCCACCGAGGTTCTGTCCGGTTATTTAGAGCGCGACATCTCCCAGGACTCTCTTCAGGACATCAAGCAGAAAGTCCAAGATAAGTACAGGTGAGTGGCGGCGAGCTCTGAGCGTGGCGGCGAGCTCTGAGCGTGGCGGCGAGCTCTGAGCGTGGCGGCGAGCTCTGAGCGTTTCTGAGCGTGGCGGCGAGCTGTGAGCGTGTCTGAGCGTGGCGGCAAGCTGTGAGCGTGTCTGTGAGCGTGGCGGCGAGCTGTGAGCGTGGCGGCGAGCTGTGAGCGAGTCTGTGAGCGTGGTGGCGAGCTGTGAGCGTGTCTGAGCGTGGTGGCGAGCTGTGAGCGAGTCTGTGAGCGTGGTGGTGAGCTGTGAGCGTGTCTGAGCGTGGTGGCGAGCTGTGAGCGAGTCTGTGAGCGTGGTGGCGAGTTGTGAGTGTGGTGGCGAGCTGTAAGCGTGGCGGCGAGCGTGGCGGCGAGTGTGTCTGTGAGCGTGTCTGAGCGTGGCGGTGAGCTGCGAGTTGCGAGCGTGTCTGTGAGCGTGGCGGTGAGCGTGTCTGAGCGTGGTGGCGAGCTGTGAGCGAGCTGTGAGCGTGGCGGTGAGCGTGGCGGCAAGCGTGTCTGAGCGTGGCGGTGAGCTGCGAGTTGTGAGCGTGTCTGAGCGTGGCGGCGAGCTGCGAGCATGTCTGTGAGCGTGGCGGCGAGCGTGTCTGAGCGTGGCGGTGAGCTGTGAGTTGCGAGCGTGTCTGTGAGCGTGGCGGCGAGCGTGTATGTGAGCGTGGCGGCGAGCGTGTATGTGAGCGTGGCGGCGAGCGTGTATGTGAGCGTGGCGGCGAGCGTGTATGTGAGCGTGGCGGCGAGCGTGTATGTGAGCGTGGCGGCGAGCTGCAAGCGTGTATGTGAGCGTGGCGGCGAGCTGCGAGCGTGTATGTGAGCGTGGCGGCGAGCTGCGAGCGTGTATGTGAGCGTGGCGGCGAGCTGCGAGCGTGTATGTGAGCGTGGCGGCGAGCTGCGAGCGTGTATGTGAGCGTGGCGGCGAGCTGCGAGCGTGTATGTGAGCGTGGCGGTGAGCTGCGAGCGTGTATGTGAGGCGTGGCGGCGAGCGTGTCTGTGAGCGTGGCGGCGAGCGTGTGTTGGTGGGACCATGTCTGAGCGTGGCGGAGAGCGTGTCTGTGAGCGTGGCGGTGTGTGGCAGAGAGCGTGGCGGTGTGTTGCAACAAGGTGTGAGTCTGGTGGCAGGCATGTCTGTGAGCGTGGCGAGCGTGTCTGTGAGCGTGGCGGCGAGCGTGTCTGTGAGCGTGGCGGCGAGCGTGTGTTGGTGGGACCATGTCTGAGCGTGTCTGTGAGCGTGGCGGCGAGCGTGTGTTGGTGGGACCATGTCTGAGCGTGTCTGTGAGCGTGTCTGTGAGCGTGGCGGTGTGTGGCAGAGAGCGTGGCGGTGTGTGGCAGAGAGCGTGGCGGTGTGTTGCAACAAGGTGTGAGTCTGGTGGCAGGCATGTCTGTGAGCGTGGCGAGCGTGTCTGTGAGCGTGGCGAGCGTGTCTGTGAGCGTGGCGAGCGTGTCTGACTGTGGCGGTCAGAGGTTGGGTGGTGATGCAGTGGTCTGTGCAGATACTGTGAGAGCAGACGGAGAGTCCTGCTACAGCACGTCCATGAAGGATACGAGAAGGACCTGTGGGAGTACATCGAGGATTGAGGCCACGCCCACAGACTCTTGAGGATCTCCACAAACTGGAGCTGATCCGTCACATCAGCTCAGGCTGCTCTCCTCTGACAAACAAACCACTTTTGCATTGTTTCCTGGATTTGTTTAACACAATCTCAAAGTAAATTCTATTTAAATAAAAGTAGAATAATAAAAGAATCTGTAATACAGTATTGCTAGCTGCAAAGTGGCGTCATGAGAAAGCAGGGTAACACCGTCTCCAAATACATCCGTTTGAACTGTATCGTAACACCCCTGATCTCTTGTTTTTGCTTGTGAATCTTTGTTTTTTGATTTTGATTTAGTTTTCCCATTAGTGTGACATGTTTTCAACAGCTTTAATCGTCCTGGCCATGTCTGCAGTGTGTTGCTGTCTGGGTGCCTGAATGTTGAGGTTGATGAAGGGGCAAAGACATTTCAGGGTGAGAAGATTCAAGGAACAATAGTGTATTTTTCAATTTGTATATAGTCCTTCTGCATGAGTCGAGCGAGGCCGGCACATGTTTGCACCATCTTCAAATATTTATTTTGAAATGTTCCATCTTTGTGGAGGCTCCATGACACGGGCAGAGCAGACAGAGCCCCGTCCCCAAAGCCCGAGTGGAGAACTTTCCTTTTGCCAAATCCAGAAGAACTGGGTCGAGTTAGAAATAAAAGGCAGGACTCCCACTAATGCTTTTCTTAGTTTTCTTAAAGGCGTTTTACATGAAATATATAACTATTATTTGCAAGAGCCAAACTGAGTGACATTCACTCCTTTTTTATCTTTTTCCCCCAATGTGGCTTGAGATGCCTGAAGCCCGGCGTGCACCTTGAGGAGGCGATGGTAGAATGTAAGGCTTTATGGAGCGACATGGACGTGTTTGAGGAAAATGGGGCTAAATTCTAAAGGTTCTAGGACTGTTTTATAATGCTGTTATGCTTTTGCATTAAACTGTTTTTCAGTAGCGGTTGACACTGAAATGTCAGTGCCCCTCCATGTTCTACGTGGTTCTGTCAGGCCCATGAGGCTGTCAAGGTTTGAAGTTGTAAAAAAAATGAGACTGTGGCCTCTGCTCCTGGCAGTTCAGAGCTTCATCTTTACCACGTTCTCCCACTTCAGTTCTGTGGGATCTTTCCCAAATGCTTCTTGTGTTCAAACGTATTATTTTATCCTAGCAAATTATAACTGTATTGTTTATTTGAATAAATGTTATAAGAAATCTTTTTGGACTAATGTGACTCGTTTGTAAAAAGGAAAATGGTCAAATGCATTTTAGTCCAGTTTGTTTCTGAATAAATGTTTAAAACTAAACTATTTTAGTCTTTACAATTCTTCTGGGTTTTCGTCCAGCACACACTGGGACCAACCTGATTCAGTTTAATAAACTCAGACACGTGTAAAGCCACCTCTGGACACTAGGGGGCGCTGGATACTTGACAGAACATGGAACAGCAGGAAGTAAGTGAAAAAACATTTATTCAAAAGCCCCTCCAGTTTTACAAAACGGTATAAAATTTAAATAACCTTTTTCAGCGGAGGTTGTAAACATTCACAGTTAAAACGACACGCAGATAATCCTGAGGACTCAGCAGCTTTAGACAAACTCACACCAGCTCCAAAAACAACAGATATTAACCACAGACTAATGAACTAGAAATGTCAACGATGAGGCAGATAAATCTTTATATAAAACATTCAAAGTCATCTGTTGGTTTAAATCTCCATCTTGTATTGTCTTAGATATATCTCAAGCTAAACTTTCAGTGAGCCGTAAACATTTTAGGAACTTGCATAAACTTCACATCAAATGGAAAAGAACCTATGTACAACTTAACGTCTTTGAAATTCAGTGTCGAAGCTTTTCGACGAGGACTGAGGCTGCACAGAACGGAGAAGTCTTTGTAGCTAGAGCCCAAAGCACAGAGTATATATATTAGGCATGACTGTTCCTTAATATACAAAAGGCAGGGATTTATTTGGAACCATTTTAGCCAGAACCAAAACTAGTAAGAATGCAGGTGAACATATCAAACAGAAAAACCACATGTTCTGATGTAATGCCAATGTTATTCAAAATGACGTCTCCCTTCATTTTCATAGACTTTAGCTTCTCGTTTGCTACACGTTTATTTTTAAAGTGCACACGCAACATTGAGAGGGTCCATCTAAAAAGTTTTGCCCGGAATATTCCGCCGTACGACTTTACACTTCGATAAACAGACACCATTTGGTCAAGTTAGAAGTCGTATGCAGTGTCTGGAGAGGCAAGCAGACTCAGATTTATAAACTGTAATATCTGTAATGACATAGGAATGAGTTTTAAGCACTGAGGAAGAGTCCAAGCAAAGTACACTGCAAAATGAATCTTAACTTGAGCAGATTCTGACTGCCTTATAACGAGATTCCCTCGCATTGGCAAATCTCATCAAAAGGAAGTCAAAATGTGCTCAAATTAAGATACAGGCATTTTAATATAGCTGTAAAAATATACACGAAATGTCTCCCTTGGAATGAGAAAATAAAGCCACTTTTCTTGAATTAAGACGGCCTTGTCCCGTTGGTGAATTTGGTTTTAAGGACAGTAAGAATTAACTCAAATTAATTCTGACTGTCCAAAAAAAAAAATTAAATTATTACGTACTATTTTATCATTTTTTGCAGTGTAGTAACCTCTCCATAGCAAAAAGAGGATAAAAATATGCAATGTTTTACAAAAATGCACGAGGAATCTAAATGTTTTGGCTGGAATATTTCACAGTGCGTCATTAAACTTGGCCAAATGGTGTCTGTCTATCCAAGTTAGAAGTCATTTGTGATCTCTGGAGAGGCTAGGCTAGCTGAGAGGTTTGGCTAGCTGTAAAATGATCTTTAATGAAATAACGGCTGAATCTCCAGGGCTCAAAGCGACGTCTCTCTATTCACTCTATGCCTTTCACGTGCTTTGGCATCAGCACAGCCTCGTCCTCGATCTTGAGCCAGCCCTTCTTGTAGTCCGTCAGCAGCTCCAGGTAGTACTTCCACTCGGGCTCGCTGTCGTACCGCACCTCGAAGACGGTCTTGAGGGGGTCGGGATGCGCCTTGTGGACCTGCAGCACCTCTCCCCTGTACCACACCTCGGACTTGTCCACCTCCTCGTACAGGTGCTGGATCCTCTTCCCCACCAGATCCGGGTAGAAGATTTTCATGGCTCGTCTCGCCCTCTGCACCGCCGAGCGCAGTACCCAGCGCCTCCTGTAGTCCGCGCTGTGGCAGGCCGACAGGTAGGGGCAGTACTTGATTGTCAGCAGGGATTGCATCTTTCTCTTGGTGTAGACGTTGAGGGGGCGTAGCGAGTTCGAGAAAGACAAACGCTTCCATTTCGCAACCTTCGGCGTTCTTTCGCGCTTGCGTCTCGCCTCCGGGGTCGATTCGGTCTCTGATTGGCTTGCGTCTAAGTGCAATTTCTCTGATTCCAAAATGGGTTTGTAGCTCATTCTCTCTCTGTCAAACATACGCCGCAGCTTGAGGATGACCCCCGATTGCTTTTCGGGTTTTTCCTGAAATTGTCTCGCTACAGAAGGCTCCAAACTGTGTTGCGTGGTTGAAATTCCCTCCGTCGCATCTGCGGGGAGCTCCTCTGAGGCTAAAGGACACATCCAGGACTTGTCGGCTCCGTCCGTGACACCTGATTGACAATTCAGCTCAAGTATAGAATCTGCTTTGGCGCAGTTTGGTTCCTCCTCGTCCGAAGAACAGTCCAGGAACATGAGTCTAGAACTTCTCTTGATGCGGCTCCTTCTCCGGAAGAAAGACTGGGTTTGAAGTTCCTCAAAGTCATCGTGGTTTGACGTTGGTGAACCGTGGCTTCTGCTGCTGCTGCCTGGGCCTGCATCCGGTTCGTCTGCCTCTTCAAGGGAGTCCCCAGATTCTAATCCTGAAAGACGGCGAGAGAAGAGGTGAGAATTGACCTAAAAACTAAATTCTTTCCCGTCAATCAGGTTGGGAAAGTCAGTTGAGTTGTGCGTCAAGCAGATGGAATGTAAACCTGCGGCGAAGCAGTGAAAGTTAGTGAAAGTATTTGTCTCTTCTGTACTCGACCGTAGTAAGTTAGCGATGTTATCACCTTGACATGAACCTTCCTGAACTAGTGGCAGATTATGATCTTGTATTCCGTCATTCTTGGTGTAAAAAACGCCCTGATAACGACAGGTGGAGTTGATAAACAATGCTAAATTAAAGCCTTCCTCGCTCTTATCTTAAGTTCAAAGTGCATCATCTGAAATCTGAGTCTGGCATTCAAACAGTATTTATTTATGTACAGGTGAGACTCAGATAATCAGAATGTTACTAAAAAGTAGTTCATGTATTTCTGTAATTCAACTTAAGTTTTAAGAGACGGTTACGGCCCCGGGCTGTGATCAAATATTGTACGCTGAACCAGAAACAAACTGGAGGACGTCACATGGACTGAATTGAAACTATTGAAAGCAGAGACATAGAAGACAGGGGCCGGTTCTAACAGATCAAGGGCCTGGGCCTCCCCGAGGTTTCTCACCTTTCCCACTGGGTTTTACAGTTGTTTTCTTATAATAATAATTATAATAATAATAATAATAATACATCAAACTTGTATAGCGCTTTTTTGGACACTCAAAGACGCTTCACATGGGGAATAAAAACAATAATAAAAAAGCGGTTTACGGAAAAGTTTGTTTGAAAAGATGCAGAGTCTGTTGGGCAGTTAAGTAAAGGTAAATGTGTACTTTATTAATCCCCGTAGAGCAATTCATCCTCTGCATTTGACCCATCCTGATGCCCTATAGGCTTACGTCAGGAGCAGTGGTCGCCGTAGCAACAGCGCCCGGGAACCCATCTCCAGATGTTGATGCTTGGCTCGGTCAGGACCAGAGCTGGAGGATTTAACCTAGTGAGCATGTTTTTAGTGGCAGGGGAAACCGGAGCACCCGGAGGAAACCTACACAGGCACGGGGAGAACATGCAAACTCCACTCAGAAAGACCCTGTTCCGACCGGGATTCGAACCCAGGACCTTCTTGCTGAGAGGCGAGAGTGCTAACCACTCAGCCACCGTGTCCAACTGTTTTGATCCAGGACACTCTAACATTCTCCATCATGTATGAACCATCAACATTGGTCTCCTTATGGTCCAGTACCATGTGTACTCTCTGTGTGTTCACTGTAGATTCTGTGTCGGTGATTTCAATGGTTTTGTGAAGTCTCTGAGATGTTGTGATGATCTATGGACATTTATCAACATTTATGGACATTGGTCTTTGCCCTTTATGGACCAATGTCTCTGGGTTTGTTATCTTTGCATTTATTGTGCTATTTTGGTTCTTTTGAAAGACAAGTTTAGATGTAAATCTAAACTTGTCTTTCAAAAGAACCAAAAAAGCTTTTTAACTCAAGACAAAATGAACCTTTTTGAATCATTGCATTTCTTGAGTCTGATTCTATGACTCAGCAAATTCACTACTGTTGTGATTGAGAGCGATACAAACATACATTGAATTGGTTCTAGAAGATTCTAATTTTTGTCTACGTTTTATACTGGGTTTTTTTTTTTTTTTTTTTTTTTTTACAGCTGTGACCAAATTCAACATTATTAGGATTATGATCATCGGCAATAGAACAATCATACATCTCACTTTGCTTGGAATGACTGTCATATTAGTAAGTATTGTAAGTTGAATCACAGAAGTAAATGGACTTTTGAATGAGTTTCGCCTGTATATTTGCAGCTGTATATTGCACCTGTACCGCCTTCTCATTGTATCGGGTCTCAAGTGAAGCAGGATTGGGCAGGAGACTGCAGGAATACCAGGGACCAGCAAGGCCCTTCACAAAAATAGACTAAAGACTAAAAATTGGGCAGAATCCCGCGGCGTCTGCGGCTTCGATACTGTGAATGTGTGAATGTATAAACGCTGAAATAAGAGGTTTGAAAGACGGGAGAGAAGCTAAACTCTTAACTACATCAAGGATTTAGGGACACATCGCATTCACCACCACCACCAGTGTTAGTTCAAACCCATCTATAAGACAGAAAAAGACAGACTGAGGAGAGACGGAGAAACCACGTCCGGATTGGGACAGAATCACATGATCTGAAGAAGAAGAGGTCAGGCCTTTTTCCTTTAAACGGCACAAGGAGGAAGTGCCAACGGAATGCGGCTTTATCATCAACTGTAGAGAAGTGAGAAAAACACAGCCGTCGTCCAAACACCAACCCAGATGTTTTTCAAGAGTGTGAGAACGAGGAGAGGTCAGGGTTTGTAAGAGTTTGGCAGTGAATCATGCTGGATTAGTTCAGTGGGTCGTAGACAGAAGTGGATCCATGTACCTGGACTCGGCTTTGTACTTCACATGGAGCTGACTCTGGAACAAAATACACGTTTTCAAATATAAAAGTGGTCTCAAAGTTATGTCACTGGTCTCAGACATTTCCCCTTCTCCATTTGTGAAATAATACATCCACCGACACTTACACTAGTGACTTTATTATGCTAAAGATTTTACACTTGCTTCTTTAATATGCTAAAGCTAGATATTTTAGATGTCTTTCGTTTAAAACCTCTAGCTTTAGCATAATAAAGAAGCTAGTTTAACATTTCTATCTTTAGCATAATAAAAGAAGCTAGTTTAAAATCTCTATCTTTAGCATAATAAAGAAGCTAGTATATAATCTCTATCTTTAGCATAAAAAAGAAGCTAGTATAAAATCTCTAGCTTTAGAATAATAAAGAAGCTAAAGCTAGAGATTTTAAACTAGCTCCACATTTTGTGTACATTCTTTGTTTTCTTACAGACAAAACATCGACCAAACCTCATAATCTAGAATCGTTTTGCTTTTAAACTCGTTTCCAGCTGTGAGATAAAGCTAAAGTCATGTTATGGCTAAAGTATGTTGGAATTTTCCGTCGTGCGAGAGTGAGTTTACGTTGTGCGAGAGTGAGTTACAGTCGTGCGAGAGTGAGTTACTGTTGTGTGAGAGTGAGTTACTGTTGTGTGAGAGTGAGTTACAGTCGTGCGAGAGTGAGTTACAGTCGTGCGAGAGTGAGTTACAGTCGTGCGAGAGTGAGTTACAGTCGTGCGAGAGTGAGTTACAGTCGTGTGAGAGTGAGTTACAGTCGTGTGAGAGTTACAGTCGTGTGAGAGTGAGTTACTGTCGTGCGAGAGTGAGTTACAGTCGTGCGAGAGTGAGTTACAGTCGTGCGAGAGTGAGTTACAGTCGTGCGAAAGTGAGTTACAGTCGTGCGAGAGTGAGTTACAGTCGTGCGAGAGTGAGTTACAGTCGTGCGAGAGTGAGTTACTGTCGTGCGAGAGTGAGTTACAGTCGTGCGAGAGTGAGTTACAGTCGTGCGAGAGTGATTACAGTCGTGCGAGAGTGAGTTACAGTCGTGCGAGAGTGAGTTACAGTCGTGCGAGAGTGAGTTACAGTCGTGCGAGAGTGAGTTACAGTCGTGCGAGAGTGAGTTACAGTCGTGCGAGAGTGAGTTACAGTCGTGCGAGAGTGAGTTACAGTCGTGCGAGAGTGAGTTACAGTTGTGCGAGAGTGAGTAGAGAGTGATTTACAGTCGTGTGAGAGTGAGTTACAGTTGTGCGAGAGTGAGTTACAGTCGTGCGAGAGTGAGTTACAGTCGTGCGAGAGTGAGAAGAGAGTGAGTTACAGTCGTGCGAGAGTGAGTTAGTCGTGTGAGAGTGAGTTACAGTCGTATGAGAGTGAGTTACAGTCGTATGAGAGTGAGTTACAGTTGTGCGAGAGTGAGTAGAGAGTGAGTTACAGTCGTGTGAGAGTGAGTTACAGTCGTGTGAGAGTGAGTTACAGTCGAGTGAGAGTGAGTTACAGTCGAGTGAGAGTGAGTTACAGTCGTGCGAGAGTGAGTTACAGTCGTGCGAGAGTGAGTTACAGTCGTGTGAGAGTGAGTTACTGTCGTGCGAGAGTAAGTTACTGTCGTGCGAGAGTAAGTTACTGTCGTGCGAGAGTGAGTTTCGGTGCAGGACACTGGTTGTTCTGATCCGGAATCACAAGAATTTGCATCGTCAAAATAAACAAATCAGTCTCATTAATACCACACAGAATACAATAGTGCACTGTTTATAACCCATAAGAGAACTGTGTGTGTCTGTGTGTCTCTATTGTGTGTGTTGTGTGTTTGTATGTTAGGTGTTCTGTGTTGTTTACGTTCTGTGACCGGTGATGCAACACTGAAATTTCATTGTGGGACAAAAAAAGGATCTCTGAATCTTAAATGGCTAGATTTAACACATTGACATTTGAAACACCATTTCAGGATTACATTTTTAACTGAACCAGCTCCGTCATTGGCATCAGCAAAAACCAACACATTCAATATTCTAGAAAGTAAAATCGAGAGCATTCATTCAACAGAGAGTTCAAATGAAAACGGCTTCCTCACAATATAATTATTAATGGGTTTTTCATGGACATTGGTCTCTCCCTATGGACCAATACCATGTGTTCGATATTGTGTCTTAACTGTTGATTCTCTGGTATGTGTGATTTCAACGGTTTTGTTAAATCCTCTGATATCTGCTGTTGTGATTTAGGGCTACACAAGAATAATATGTATTGTATTGTAGGGTTATTTGTCTGTTATAGTGATATACAGTATGTAAAAATATGTGTTGTGCAGGTTTGAAATAAATAATTATTATTAGTATTATTGAGTCCTGAATGTTTCAAGGATAAAGATTTGTCTCTACCCTACAGAAATGTCACAGAGACTAGAGTCCTTATTTTCCTCCATGTTTGTAAAGTCTTGGAATAATATGAGGGACATGAATCGCAATATATCACAGAATCAAATCAATACGTTAAGAATTGCATTAATATTGAATTGTGGCCCAAATATCGCAATACTATCAAATCCTCCCTATATATTGCCCAATATTATGCATTGTTGGACTTTCTGACCTCTACTCACCGAGCTGTTTGCAGACGCAGGTGTAGTAGAGCAGGTTGACCACGTCGGCGTACACGGTGGGGAAATGCTTGTAGGACATGAGTCTCCGGAGGCGGGAGGAGCAGGCGCGCTTGTGCATGGCGATCAGGGCCTTCTCCTCGGACAGCGTGGTGGGCCTCAGCTCCACCTTGTGCTCCTGCAGAACCTGGTCGATCAGACTGCCCTGCACCGAGGAGAACAGCACCTCCTTCACCACCAGGATGGGCAGGAACACGTCGCCGGTCCTCATCACGAACGGGAAGGGGCAGCACTCCTGGCTGTACTCGTTCATCCGCTGATAGACCTGCTGCAGCGACTCCATCATCTCCTCGTTCAGGCACGCCGCTCTGCCCTCTGCCCCCAGCAAACATCTCACTCTCTGGGTTTTCCCGGACGCCACGTGGCTTAGCTGCATCTTGGACAGCCAGGCCCGGAGAGTGTCCTCGGACGTAGCAGCAACAGATTTGGAGATTAGCTTCACCAGAGACTGATGAAGTTCGAAGAAGTGTTTGCGTACGGGCATCTGGAAGGAGGGGTCGGGAAGCTGGGAGGAGGGGTCTGGCATCTGTAAGGAGGAGTCTGGCATTGCTTGAGTGGGTTCTGGGGACTTGGGGGCCTTCTGGACGGAGCGGGGGAGGTTGGTGTTGGGGCAGATGATGTTGTAGGTGGAGAGCTTCAGGCACTGGGGAGGAATGTTGAGGAAGTTGGGTCGAACCTCAGGAAGTGGAGGAGCAGGGCCGTGTGTGGGAGTACCGTCACTCCCCAATGATTTCTGGCCACACTCACCGACAGGACGCCTATTCTCATCCTCATTCAACTTGGGCTTAACTTCTAAACGCCTAATATCCAACAGATCGATCTCCTCTGGTTCTTTCTTAATGATTTTAAGCAGCTCAGGAAACTCTGAAACCACCGAGCAGCTTCTTTGGTCCATTTCTTCATCATGTTTGCATTGTTTTGTTGCACTATTCCCCGGATTTGTCTCAACTTTCAGAGGATTCCCAGAAACAGACTTGGTCTCCGCTGCACATGTGTGTTCTGGATCTTCTAGACGTTCTTGTTTGACCTGTACTGCTACTCTAGACATTGTTGGTTCAATATTGCTGCAAACTCCCAGTGTTTGCTCAAAAGTCTCTGTCTTAATAACCATAGCTTTAGGAGAATCTACCCCTCTATCTTTACTAAAACTAGCAGGTTCTGTGCGTCCAGGTAGTGGCTTTCTATCCTTCACATTTTCTTCCACCGCTGGGATTCTTAACACATCTTTTGACTCAAACTGTAGTTTCACATCTTCATCTGACTGTTCAGCTCGACGCTCTGAGCTATACTGCACAAGTCTGGACTGTAGTGTGCTTAAATGCAACCTCGACATCTGGAGGTGCGTTCGGTAAGGAGCCAAGCTGAAGACATTATTAATAACAGGCAGAGGAGGAGACACATCTGTGCTTTTAACTCCTGCGTTTCCCTGTTCACTCCTTCTGCGTTTATGGAGACTTTCTACCACAAACACATCGTCGTCATCATGCGTTTTGACGGGGGACGAGGCAGACAGGGGTCTCTTCAGGGGCCCTCTGTGTCCGTAGGTAGGCGATGTGTGCGACAAGGTTTGACCCCGAGGAGGACAGTAGAGAATCTTCTGCACATTCGACGAGTGTGAAATACTTGAGGCGGGGTGTGGGGGCGAGACGTGAGGGTGTTTTGTGTGCAGCAGAACATGATAACCAGAGCGTTTGGAGGATTCTACACCCACGTTTAAGTGATTGGGCGCATATATGGCTGGAGGGACCATATGGAGTCTTTCCCCCCGTGGCTCCATGTACGCACTGGTTCTCGGTGGGCTGAATGCATAGAGTGAATGTGCTCTAGAGCCTCCTGCCGTGGAGTTCCGAGCGCATGGGGCAGGACTGGTTTGCTCCCGACACACGGTTTTAGAGGAATGCTCTTCAGAAATGTCTCTATAACCAACCGGGTGATGCACATGTTTGTGGCTAGTGAAATCTCTGTGCACTGCGTGTGGATGTCTATGTCCGTGAATGGGACTAGTATTCACGTTTAACCTGGGAGCCATAAAACCTGGGTATTCAAATCCTTGTAGAAAGTTCACATTTGACATGGGGTCTCTTATAGGGAGGGAGACATAATGGTCCCCTGCAGGTTGGACGGGGTGTTTTAAAAAGACTGGTATCTTTGCTTTGTGCATAGAACCAGAATCTTTGCTTTCTGAAGCCGTCTCCAAGTCTCCGCTGGCTTGGGGATAGTAAAAAGCAGGGTGCTGTACCGTTTGTCCATATTTGGAAATAGGAGAAGTGTTGTGATAAATCAGAGGCTCATATGCAGAGTGGGAGGGGTAGAAGCTGGGGTAAGCGTTCACGTTGCTGGGGCTGTAGGCTCGATCCATCGCACTGGAATAAGTCAGATTATGTTGAGGGCTGAACATAGACACCCTCACGGCCTCAGCGGGTCCCTGTCTGTGCTGAGGCAGAGGGTCAGACTCCCCATGTTTCCAGCTGTGATTATACACAGTCTTTTTATGGAGATGAGGAGGAGATCCAAGCCCCATCCCACAGCACAGATCAGTGCAAGGGCTGCGTCTGTAAACTGCATGAGAGACCCCAAGATACACAGCCCTGTCAGAGGAGTCACCTTCACCTCCTGTATGCCCCTTCCTCACAATCACTGAGGCAGTATTCTGAGGCTTGCAATGCTCTGGGCTCTTAGTGTATCGTGTAAAGCCTTGTTTTGACACAGACGCTGCTACGTCTCCAGGAAGGCCCTCATCTGATCGTCCGTCTTTGCTGTAAATGTGTTTTCTGTCCGAGCCGGAGATGTGACTCATGGGGCTTTGTCTTTCTACAACAGGGCTCTCTGTGCTGCTCCAGGGGGCAGGGAATGCTGCCATGTCTTTCCCCGGCGGTCGAAAAGAGAAATATGCTCCACTGTAGGGTTTTCCCATGAAGCTCGACATGCTCTGAGGCTGCGGAAGTCCGACGGGGGCCATGTTTTGACTGAACGACGGCATTCCTCTCCCAATAACCGGCTCGATGTGAGTCTCCAGCGAATGTCTGCTCATCACGGACCGTCAGAGAGACCACGACATCATATTTTATCTGAAAGAGCAAAACAAAATTGGATTAGAAGTCTATTCAAGCTTGCATAAGTCAGTGAAGACATAGGACTGCCAACTCCAGTTTACAGCCGGTGAAAGTATTTATCTAACTTGTTTATCAGCTCTGCGTACACACACATTACATGGATAGATTACTGATACGATTGCTCTGACATTTCCACTCCACCACTAATGATTATAGGTAACATGCCTTAACCACAACTGACCTACTTAGATCTTAAACGTTACCTGTTTGAAGATGAACACAATGTGACTAAGCAGCTGACTTTCACTTGTACAAAAACAGCTCAACAGCTCTGGGTCGTCACGTGATAATGAAACCACAGAAATAATCCAGGCTTCAGCAGACACATCAGCCCTGTCCTCACTGCGCTTCTGTCCTGCAGCCGTCAAACTCGTGACCTGTGCCTTTAACACCACATCTGCACTAGTTTGTGTTATACAGAGACAGAGAGAGACAGAGAGAGACAGAGAGAGACAGACAGAGACAGAGAGAGAGACAGAGACAGACAGAGACAGAGACAGAGAGAGACAGACAGAGACAGAGAGACAGAGAGAGTAAGTAAGTAATCTTTATTTATATACCGCCTTTTCACTGCACATTGGAGTCTCAAAGCGGTTTACAATTGTTATTTTTGGGAGCAGGGGTGCCAGTACAGGAGGCACATGCCAGACCTATTGTACATATTTTTAGTGGTAGGGGAAACCGGAGCACCCGGAGGAAACCTACGCAGACACGGGGAGAACATGCAAACTCCACTCAGAAAGGCTCTGGTCCAACCGGGACCAGAGCCAGAGAGAGAGAGACAGAGACAGAGACAGACAGAGAGAGACAGACAGAGACAGAGACAGACAGAGAGACAGAGAGAGAGACAGACAGAGAGAGACAGAAAGAGACAGACAGAGAGAGACAGACAGAGACAGACAGAGAGAGACAAGAGAGAGACAGAGGCAGAGACAGAGAGAGACAGAGACAGAGAGAGACACACAGATATAGAGAGAAAAAGACAGATAGACAGAGAGAGAGAGACAGAGAGAGGACTCGGACACATTTAGTATATCATTGCAAAAGAACTTTGATATTACAACCCCAAAAACAACTTATCAGCAAGTCACAAAAAGGAAGTTTCGCGTCAAGCCATTCTCAGCGTGTGTGTGTGTGTGTGTGTGTGCTCATGTGTGAGTGTGTGCGTGTGTGCTCATGTGTGAGTGTGTGTGTGCTCATGTGTGAGTGTGTGTGTGTGTTCATGTGTGAGTGTGTGTGTGTGTGTGTGTTCATGTGTGAGTGTGTGTGTGCGTGTGCTCATGTGTGAGTGTGTGTGTGCGTGTGCTCATGTGTGAGTGTGTGTGTGCTCATGTGTGAGTGTGTGTGTGTGTTCATGTGTGAGTGTGTGTGTGTGTGTGTGTGTTCATGTGTGAGTGTGTGTGTGCGTGTGCTCATGTGTGAGTGTGTGTGTGCGTGTGCTCATGTGTGAGTGTGTGTGTGCTCATGTGTGTGTGTATGTGTGTGTGTGTGTGTGTGTGTGTGTGTGCTTATGTGTGTGTGTGTGTGTGTGTGCATGTGTGAAGACGTGCTAGGGCTTATCGATTCTAACAACTATCATATAATACTTCCTGTGTGACGAAAGTTGGAGATAGTAAAGATTACGCTGTTAAAATACACACACGCGACGCCAATGGTTTCTGTGAGTGAGACAAACACACAACAACAACACAACTTTTAAAAAAATCTATCAAACTCGGTGAGAGAAGTTTCAAAAGGTTAGAAAGTGGCTCCGGGAAAAAAAGCACGGGAGCTGAAGCCAAAGCAAAAGTCTCACCTACGGCTCCAGACACAGCCAGGACTTTGTAGCGACGGAAAGTTCTTCAGACGTCTCTCTCTTTCTTTGATCTCTCTCTTTGATCTCTCTCTCTGGTCTCTCTCACTGGTCTCTCTCACTGGTCTCTCTCTCTCTGGTCTCTCATCCACCTTCCCGCTCTGTCCACGCTGAGGAGTTTGCAGCAGTGAGACAGAGACAGACAAAAGGCAGAAGGATGGGCCCTGGCGGTGAGGCGGGGCCAGAGGAGCAGAGGTCCACAACCTTTTTTCAGCCTCGACACGCCTTCAGTATGGAGGACCAAAAATGACTAAAGTATAAATAAATAAATAAATACAGGAATATATGAATAAATACATTCATTTTGGACAATAAAAACTAAATATTTACGTTGATATGCTAAATATTACTCTGAAATCAAATAAATATACTTTTATTTAGGTTATTTATCAATATCTACATTTTTTCCTTTATTTATTTATCCATTTATTGCATATATTTATTTATGTATTTCTACATTTCTTCATTTATTTATTTATGTATTTCTGTGTCGCTGCACTTCTTCATTTATTTATTTGTGTATTTCTACATTTCTTCATTTATTTATTTATGTATTTCTGTGTCGCTGCATTTCTTCATTTATTTATTTGTGTATTTCTACATTTCTTCATTTATTTATGTATTTTTGTGTTGCTGCATTTCTTCATTTATTTATTTGTGTATTTCTACATTTCTTCATTTATTTATTTATGTATTTCTGTGTCGCTGCACTTCTTCATTTATTTATTTGTGTATTTCTACATTTCTTCATTTATTTATGTATTTTTGTGTTCCTGTATGCTAATTAGGTGGGCGGTGCTGAACTCAATCTAGAACAGCACAGCCCTATGTCACAACAGTAGTAATCTTGGAAGACTTTTCAAAGCTGTCGATTCACCAACACAGATCAGAGACATTGGTTCAAGAGGAGCAGATATATACGTATATCTATATCTGTTCATATATATCTGTTCATATATACGTATATCTATATCTGTTCATATATATCTGTTCATATATACGTATATCTATATCTGTTCATAAATGTGGGTGAATGTGTCGTGGATCACTCTCTTCGTCTGTGCCGAAGTGGGTCCTGATTGGCTGAGTCTCTGCGGGGCGCCTCCATTTCCTCATTCTTGAACAGATAAACTAACCGCAGAGCTTGATAATCACATAAGCACATCCAAACACAGCCTGAGAACGAGGCTTGCATCAAATTCACAGATAATTTTTGCCTATTTCTTTAAAAATGCAGTCAGTGATTTTTTCCAGATGATTTTTTTTAAATATTGTGTGAAAACGTCCCTAAACCCTAAAAATATCAAGTTATCATGTGTTTTAAACAGTAATGGAATTGCTCAGATGTCTATAGTCTCCAAAAATGTATAACAAATATTTTGGAGCGGACCGATAAAAATATACCAATGTTTACCTCCTTCAGCCTCTTCCTGTTTCTCAGAGTGCACCGGGGATATCGGATTTTCTAAAACCTAAAATGGCTGAACAGAAAATTCCAATGTCACGTTTGCTTCACTCTCGCTGTGACAAGGAAAAGAAAATGCTATGTCTCACTGACTGCAGGAGAACATGGACCAGTCACTCCTTCACTGTATCCAACAGATCAGTGAGTGGATGCAAAACAACTTCCTTCAGCTAAACGCAGACAAAACTGAAATGATTGTCTTTGGTCCCCAGAAACAAAGAGAGAGCGTCATCTGTCACCTCCAGTCTCTCTCCCTAAAACCTTCAAACAAGGTCAGAAATCTAGGGGTAATACTGGACTCAGACTTACATTTTAATATCCACATCAAATCAGTAACATCAGCAGCTTTTTACCATCTAAAAACATTGCCAGGATCAAAAACATAGTGTCTAAAGCAGACCTGGAGATTCTTATCCATGCATTTGTCTCCAGTAGGTTAGACTACTGCAATGGCCTGCTCACAGGTCTCTCCAAACAGGCTGTAAAACAACTGCAGTACATTCAAAATGCAGCAGCTCGAGTCCTGACTAGAACCAGGAAGTACGACCACATTAGTCCTGACTAGAACCAGGAAGTACGACCACATTAGTCCTGACTAGAACCAGGAAGTACGACCACATTAGTCCTGACTAGAACCAGGAAGTACGACCACATTAGTCCTGACTAGAACCAGGAAGTACGACCACATTAGTCCTGACTAGAACCAGGAAGTACGACCACATTAGTCCGGTCCTCAGGTCTCTGCACTGGCTTCCTGTGGCTCAGAGAATAGACTTTAAAACAGCTCTGCTTGTTACAAGTCTCTCCATGGCCTCGCACCAAAATATATTAGTGACATGTTAGTCCCATATGAACCAGCCCGGACTCTGAGGAGCACAGGGACTGGACTCCTGCTGGGACTCTGAGGAGCACAGGGACTGGACTCCTGCTGGGACTCTGAGGAGCACAGGGACTGGACTCCTGCTGGGACTCTGAGGAGCACAGGGACTGGACTCCTGCTGGGACTCTGAGGAGCACAGGGACTGGACTCCTGCTGGGACTCTGAGGAGCACAGGGACTGGACTCTGAGGAGCACAGGGACTGGCCTCCTGCTGGGACTCTGAGGAGCACAGGGACTGGACTCTGAGGAGCACAGGGACTGGACTCTGAGGAGCACAGGGACTGGACTCCTGTTAGTGCCCAGAGTCAGGACTAAACATGGGGAGGCTGCCTCCTCTCTGACAATGTTTAAAACCAGGATAAAAACAGTTCTGTTTAGCTGTATATAACTGAGGGATTTTATATTTTTAATGTTCTGTGATTATTTATGCTACGGCTAAGCTAACAACATCACATACTGCACCTTTAATCTATTTTGGCTTGTTCTGTAAATGCAGAGGAATTAACCATCGATGAATCATTTCCCCTTTAAAAGTACAACTGCAGTCGTTCTTACTCACAACAATGACCGCCGTCTCCTCTAAAGTTAATCATCTACAAACTAGCTTAATCTTCTACTGTGTTTTAAGATCTAATATGGGTCAGTCGTCCACCGGGATCTGGGAACGAGACCATACTGCGGGAAATACACTACTATACTAGCATTTTTTACATTTGTTTGAACTTTTACTTAGGCCTAGAAACTTCATGTTTGTTCTAAAGCATGTTCTGAAGTGGGCAGGGCCAGCGGCTAAAGCAGATAAGGCACAGAAAGTTTATTTGGTTAGCGCGGTTTATACACGAGGAAACTTAGGGTGTTGCTAAATACAACTGTTTTAACCTGGATTTGTACATTTTAACAGCTGCGTTAGGCCAGAAAACTTCACATACTGAGGCTGTAGACCCAGGACTGAGGCTGTAGACCCAGGACTGAGACTGTAGATCCAGGACTGAGGCTGTAGATCCAGGACTGAGGCTGTAGACCCAGGACTGAGGCTGTAGACCCAGGACTGAGGCTGTAGACCCAGGACTGAGGCTGTAGACCCAGGACTGAGGCTGTAGACCCAGGACTGAGGCTGTAGACCCAGGACTGAGGCTGTAGACCCAGGACTGAGGCTGTAGATCCAGGACTGAGGCTGTAGACCCAGGACTGAGGCTGTGGATCCATAGGACTGAGGCTGTAGACCCAGGACTGAGGCTGTAGACCCAGGACTGAGACTGTAGATCCAGGACTGAGGCTGCAGACCCAGGACTGAGGCTGCAGACCCAGGACTGAGGCTGTAGATCCAGGACTGAGGCTGTAGACCCAGGACTGAGGCTGTAGACCCAGGACTGAGGCTGTGAATTCATAGGACTGAGGCTGTAGACCCAGGACTGAGGCTGTAGACCCAGGACTGAGACTGTAGATCCAGGACTGAGGCTGTAGACCCAGGACTGAGGCCTACAGGGCAGGATCTACTGAGTCTACAGGGCTGAGGCTGTAGACCCAGGACTGAGGCTGTAGATCCAGGACTGAGGCTGTAGACCCAGGACTGAGGCTGTAGACCCAGGACTGAGGCTGTAGACCCAGGACTGAGGCTGTAGACCCAGGACTGAGGCTGTAGACCCAGTCAGTGGGTCTGAGGCCTGTTAATTGGATTTTATGTCTCTGTCCACGACTGACAAAGACAAGAGTGTGATGTCATGGGTCCAGTGGCCTGCAGCAGAATACACACATGACCTCGGCTGAAGACTCGGGCTTTGTGACCCGGGTTCTGAATGAGGCCCAGTGTTTGAGGACCCTCGGAGGCCGGGACCGTCTCGTGCTCTGGAGACGTCCTGCTGTTTTATCCACTCGGTTGTCATCGACTTTGACCTCTCAGGAACAGCCTTCGCCGAGTCTCACAGAGGGTTTTGTGTGATTCTGATGTAATGTCAGAAGGAACAGATTAGATAGCTGGAGCAAGACCAGTGACACAGGCCAGACACAATGAAATTAATTCTTGTATCGCCCTAAAACAGTAGTTATCAGAGAAGACTTATCTGTAGAGAGCCTATCTATCTATCTATCTATCTATCTATCTATCTATCTATCTATCTATCTATCTATCTATCTATCTATCTATCTATCTATCTATGAATCTATCTATCTATCTATCTATCTATCTATCTATGAATCTATCTATCTATCTATCTATCTATCTATGAATCTCTATCTATCTATCTATCTATCTATGAATCTATCTATCTATCTATCTATCTATCTATCTATGAATCTATCTATCTATCTATCTATCTATCTATCTATCTATCTATCTATGAATCTATCTATCTATCTATCTATCTATGAATCTATCTATCTATCTATGAATCTATCTATCTATCTATCTATCTATCTATCTATCTATCTATCTATGAATCTATCTATCTATCTATCTATCTATCTATCTATCTATGAATCTATCTATGAATCTATCTATCTATGAATCTATCTATCTATCTATCTATCTATCTCTGTATATATATGTGGAGCGTCCTGGATCATGGGGTGTCCCGCTCAGTTTGGTCGGGGGCAGGATTTAAACTCTAACAGTTCCTGGGGGCTGAACCTATGAAATTCATCTTTGCGTCTGTGATATTTGTAAATGCAGTTTTTACTTCATGAAGGTATTTTGACCTTACAGTTTTTCTCGGTCGCTTTGGTGCATTTCTCAGAACAATTAGTGCAAACTGCAGAACCTCGTGGATAACCTGCAAAAGTGCGTCACTTTCTCAAAATGAAAAGTTTTTTCCTCTAAAGCTAGTCTTCAGGTCGATGAAACTGTGTCTCAGAATAATAAGTCCTGACAACAGTGTTTATGAACAACAGTCACATGACTTAGTCATGTTTACACTGTGAAAGTTTACTCTCTGTGTTTTCAATGTAAAAAAGTCAGATCTCGGAGACACTTGAGCACGAGCTCATTATACATATATATATATATATATACATATACATATATATATATATATATATATATATATATATATATATATATATATATATATATATGTATATATATATGTATATATGTATACACGACCTGTGCAAAGACTGTATTTAGAGACGGAACTGACATGTACTGTGTGTACTGTATGTACTGTATGTACTGTATGTACTGTATGTATGTACTGTATGTACTGTATGTGCTGTATGTTTGTACTGTATGTACTGTATGTATGTACTGTATGTATGTACTGTATGTACTGTGTGTACTGTATGTACTGTATGTACTGTATGTACTGTGTGTACTGTATGTACTGTATGTATGTACTGTATGTATGTACTGTATGTACTGTATGTGCTGTATGTTTGTACTGTATGTATGTACTGTATGTACTGTATGTATGTACTGTATGTACTGTATGTATGTACTGTATGTACTGTATGTATTGTATGTACTGTATGTATGTACTGTATGTACTGTATGTATGTACTGTGTGTACTGTATGTACTGTATGTATGTACTGTGTGTACTGTGTGTACTGTATGTACTGTATGTATGTACTGTATGTACTGTATGTATGTACTGTATGTATGTACTGTGTGTACTGTATGTACTGTATGTACTGTGTGTACTGTATGTACTGTATGTACTGTATGTATTGTATGTACTGTATGTATGTACTGTGTGTACTGTATGTATGTACTGTATGTACTGTATGTATGTACTGTATGTACTGTATGTATGTACTGTATGTACTGTATGTATGTACTGTGTGTACTGTATGTACTGTATGTACTGTATGTATGTACTGTATGTACTGTATGTACTGTATGTATGTACTGTATGTACTGTATGTATGTACTGTGTGTACTGTATGTACTGTATGTACTGTATGTACTGTATGTATGTACTGTATGTACTGTATGTACTGTATGTACTGTGTGTACTGTATGTACTGTATGTACTGTATGTATGCTGTGTGTACTGTATGTACTGTGTGTACTGTGTGTACTGTATGTACTGTATGTGTACTGTATGTACTGTATGTATGTACTGTATGTATGTACTGTATGTACTGTATGTATGTACTGTGTGTACTGTATGTACTGTATGTACTGTATGTATGTACTGTGTGTACTGTATGTACTGTATGTACTGTATGTATTGTATGTACTGTATGTATGTACTGTATGTACTGTATGTATGTACTGTATGTACTGTACTGTATGTACTGTATGTACTGTATGTATGTACTGTGTGTACTGTATGTACTGTGTGTACTGTATGTACTGTATGTACTGTATGTATGTACTGTATGTACTGTATGTATGTACTGTATGTATGTACTGTGTGTACTGTATGTACTGTATGTACTGTATGTATGTACTGTGTGTACTGTATGTACTGTATGTACTGTGTGTATGTACTGTGTGTACTGTATGTACTGTATGTATGTACTGTATGTACTGTATGTATGTACTGTATGTACTGTGTGTACTGTATGTACTGTATGTATGTACTGTATGTACTGTATGTACTGTATGTATGTACTGTATGTACTGTGTGTACTGTATGTACTGTATGTGTAAATACATAGAACAAACAAACAGAATATGATGATGGTAAAACTGTGACAAATGTAAACAATAAAACACTCATGAGTGAAGCTCAAACAGACATTGTTCAATTTAGGAAAGATTTACAGGAAAAAGAAGATGAAGTAATGTATGAAATTAGTTTGATAGTTATGATTTTGAACTAGTTCAACAGTTTTGTTTGTGACCAAAGAGATGAAATGAGGACAGTTAGTTTTATAGAGAAAGACTGTTCAGAAGTGATAAGTCTGTTTCACTCTGACACGACAGAAGCAAATGATTATGTTATAAAAACAGCAGAGAATTGTATGAAAGTAAGTGATACAGTTTATGTCCGAGTTCAAAGGAGAAACTGCTGCGATGATGTCATCAATGACCTAATGTTGTGGAGGATGAACTAATACTTTTGAGAACTTTAAGTCTGAGAAATGCACCAAAGACACTGAGAAAAACTTTAATCTAACCTGAGTTTGGATTATTTTCAGGTAGATTTTTCTGGATAAAATAGTTACAGGATCGGCCACTGATTTAAAAATGATGGTTATTTTCTTAATTAGGAATAACACGCCTTAGACCCTCCTGCATCGGAACAAGGCCTTACTCTTTAGAGAATCACCTGGACTTAAACAGCCTTTTTTAGTGTTTTTGAAACAGCTGGTAAGTCTCTGCTGACCTGGCAACGCTGGAGGAAGTGTGTGTGGAGGGGGAAGTCTGGGTCATCTGCCCCTGCAACCCGGCAACGGATAAAGCAGAAGAAAACGGATGGATGGACAGTAGAAATGAAAGTCCCTTTGCTCCAGACGCAAAGCACAGGTACAGGACGCCCAAACCTTACTTTGATATTACTTATTGTTTTATTCTGTAACTGTAAGTGCATATTTATCCATGATATTTATTATTATGCTAAACTTAGAGATTTTATACTAGCTTCTTTATTATGCTAAAGTTAGAGATTTTATACTAGCTTCTTTATTTTGCTAAAGTTAAGAGATTTTATACTAGCTTCTTTATTATGCTAAAGCTAGAGATTTTATACTAGCTTCTTTATTATGCTAAAGTTAGAGATTTTATACTAGCTTCTTTATTATCTCTGTCAGTTTTTCTATTATTTAGTTTTGTTTATTACATTTTGACTGCCTCTTGATGTGTTTTCTCCAAAGTGTGCTTCTCCGGGGGACAGACTCTGGTTTGAGGTCCCTCGCGTCCCGCCATCACCTGCTCACACTCCGGTTTCCATGACGACCCAGCACCAGGGCCCCCGTCCCCGGGCTCACGGGGGGTTCGCCTCCGCCACAGGGACCGGGGCCGAACGCCGCAGTCTCACCGTGTTTCCCAAAAGCAGAGACTAAAAACACTTGTAATTACAGATTTGGTAAAACAACAAGTTCAGACTCAAGGAAGTCACAAAATAAGAACGGAACATTATCATAAATAATCACAGTACGTTAAAAAGAGTAAAGATAAAACCCTGTTTTTAACCTGGATTTGAACATTGTCAGAGAAGACGCCTGTCTCACGTTTTCAGGAAGATTGTTCCAGATTTTAGTGGCAAAAATCTGAAACGCTGCAGAGGCGAGTTTAGTCCTGACTCTGGGACCAGCTGGAGGCCAGTCCCTGTGCTCCTCAGAGTCCCAGCAGGAGGCCAGTCCCTGTGCTCCTCAGAGTCCCAGCAGGAGGCCAGTCCCTGTGCTCCTCAGAGTCCCAGCAGGAGGCCAGTCCCTGTGCTCCTCAGAGTCCAAGCAGGAGGCCAGTCCCTGTGCTCCTCAGAGTCCCAGCAGGAGGCCAGTCCCTGTGCTCCTCAGAGTCCCAGCAGGAGGCCAGTCCCTGTGCTCCTCAGAGTCCCAGTAGGAGTCCAGTCCCTGTGCTCCTCAGAGTCCCAGCAGGAGGCCAGTCCCTGTGCTCCTCAGAGTCCCAGCAGGAGGCCAGTCCCTGTGCTCCTCAGAGTGAAAATGCAAAATACTCTATACCTGTGTTGAGAAGTATCTTTAGAAAACTACAATATATGACTTCCCAACTCAATTAACCAAATAAATTACAATTTATTCTTGTATCGTCCTGAATCACGACAGTAGTTTTCTCGTCTACAACAGATCAGAGAATCAAACACCAACACAGATGGTCCATAAGGACAGAGACCAATGTTTATGTCCAGAAATAAGTAAGTCATTTACAATACACCATACAGGAGGAACATGCCAGTCCTATGTACATGTTTTAATAATGGTAGGGGAAACCCGGAGCACCTGGAGGAAACCGGAGCAGACACGGGGAGAACATTCAAACTCTACAGAGAAAGGTCCTGGAGTTGGAATCGATTTAATAAATGCCCATGAATGTTCTGTTGCCGTGGGAAACATGGAGGTGACAAAGAGGCAGAGGGAGCGGAGGGGCCCCTGCTTCTGCTGGTGGTGGAGGGAGGGGCCCCTGGTTCTGCTGGTAGTGGAGGGAGGGGCCCCTGTTTCTGCTGGTGGTGGAGGAAGGGGCCCCTGGTTCTGCTGGTAATGGAGGGAGGGGCCCTTGGTTCTGCTGGTGGTGGAGGGAGTGGCCCCTGGTTCTGCTGGTAATGGAGGGAGGGGCCCTTGGTTCTGCTGGTGGTGGAGGGAGGGGCCCCTGGGAGCAGTGGACTTGTTTACCTCAGTGGGATGTGATGAAACGGCCCCTGAGTCCCAGAGCTTACATCAGCGCTGGGTCTGAGGCACCAACACAGAGCGGCACGAGTCAATATTGGACTTTTCTGTCACGAGCGAGAACTGAACCTGAACCACACAGACACACACAGAGACACACACAAAGACACACACAGAGACACACACAAAGAAATACACACACAGACACACACAGACACACAGAGACACACACAAAGACACACACAGAGACACACACAGAGACACACACACAGACACACACAGAGACACACACAGAGACACACACAGAGACACACACAGACACACACAGAGACACACACAGACACACACACACACAGACACACACAGAGACACACACAGACACACACAGAGACACACACAGACACACACACACACACAGACACACACAGAGACACACACAGACACACACAGACACACATGTATTGTTCTATAGATAGGTGTTCAAATGCAAATTCAAACCATATATTCAACCCCTCTCTCATCTCTCTCTCCTTTCTCCAAACTCTCTCCTCTCTTCTCTCCTCTCCTCTCCCCCCTCTCTCTCCCCCCTCTCTCCTCTCCTCTCCCCCCTCTCTCCTCTCCTTTCTCCCCTCAGTCCTCTCCCCTCTTCTCTCTCGTTTCTCCCCTCACTCCTGTTGTATCTTCTTCTCAGCAGAAGATGGGGTTTCCCGCACAAACCAGTATAGTGTTGGAGAAGGAATGCACTCTGAGTTATGTATTAAAGAAAGAGTTTAATGACATAATCAGAATACATCAAGTCCAATTCAGGCTCAGTGCTTTCAGCCTGGGTCAGCTCCGAGGATGTGGATGGTATGACCGACAAAGAACACATTAAGCACAGAGCTCTTATAGATGCACAAGGGCAAGATGTCATAAATACTTGTCATTCAATAATCTTATAGACTAGTCCTGGTTAACTCAGTATCTCTGAGTCTTTCTTCCCTGAGGATCTCACTACATGTGGTTTTACTGCAAATGGTAAATATATCAAATCTATAGACTATTATTGTCCCTCCAGATGTCCTAAGACACAATTATAACCAAACATGCATCCACAGGACATACATGTGCAGTCTCATGCATCCACAGGACATACATGTGCAGTCTCATGCATCCACAAGACATACATGTGCAGTCTAATGCATCCACAGGACATACATGTGCAGTCTAATGCATCCACAGGACATACATGTGCAGTCTAATGCATCCACAGGACATACATGTGCAGTCTCATGCATCCACAGGACATACATGTGCAGTCTAATGCATCCACAGGACATACATGTGCAGTCTAATGCATCCACAGGACATACATGTGCAGTCTAATGCATCCACAGGACATACATGTGCAGTCTCATGCATCCACAGGACATACATGTGCAGTCTCATGCATCCACAGGACATATATGTGCAGTCTAATGCATCCACAGGACATACATGTGCAGTCTAATGCATCCACAGGACATACATGTGCAGTCTCATGCATCCACAGGACATACATGTGCAGTCTCATGCATCCACAGGACATACATGTGCAGTCTCATGCATCCACAGGACATACATGTGCAGTCTCATGCATCCACAGGACATACATGTGCAGTCTAATGCATCCACAGGACATACATGTGCAGTCTCATGCATCCACAGGACATACATGTGCAGTCTCATGCATCCACAGGACATATATGTGCAGTCTAATGCATCCACAGGACATACATGTGCAGTCTAATGCATCCACAGGACATACATGTGCAGTCTAATGCATCCACAGGACATACATGTGCAGTCTCATGCATCCACAGGACATACATGTGCAGTCTCATGCATCCACAGGACATACATGTGCAGTCTAATGCATCCACAGGACATACATGTGCAGTCTTATGCATCCACAGGACATACATGTGCAGTCTAATGCATCCACAGGACATACATGTGCAGTCTAATGCATCCACAGGACATACATGTGCAGTCTAATGCATCCACAGGACATACATGTGCAGTCTCATGCATCCACAGGACATACATGTGCAGTCTCATGCATCCACAGGACATACATGTGCAGTCTAATGGCACAGACGCTGCCGAAATGCAGCTGCAGGTTCTATTGTCTCCAACGTCACATTGGCCTTAGGATTTAGATAAGTGACTTCCTGCCATTGCGTGCTCACATTATCCCAAAACACAATTTTACACATATGAAGATACATACATACTGTGTTTATGTAGAATTAAAGAATATTAATAATAGCAGACACAACACTCCTCTCTCCCCTCAGTCCTCTCCCCCCTCTCTCCTCTCCTCTCTCCCCTCAGTCCTCACTGCTCTCTCTCCTCTCCTCTCTCGTTTCTCCTCTCTCCTCTCCTCCCTCTCTAAACTCCCACACTTCATGTATTATTTAATTAGTTTTGAGACACACACACATGTATCATTCTATGGAAAGACGTCCAGATGCAAATTCACACAGACACACACACACACACACAAATCATTCTATGGAAAGACGTCCAGATGCAAATTCAAACCCGACATGTGTTAGTTTGAAGTCTACATCCTGAATATTGTGTCCAGTTGGAAAAGCCACAGAGGCAGGTCTTGTGTGTTGTGTGTCTGCCCTTGTGAGTGCAGGTGTGTGTAGTTGTGTGTTGTCAGTTGCACAGTTGTGTTTTGCTCCCGGTGACACCATGTGACTCCTCTCTGCTGCTGATGTAACCTCTGAGCTCACTGCCAAAAGACTGAAGCAGAAACAGCCAATAGCAGCGTGACAGGTTCCAGCACATACAGGCCACTCACAGCTCTCCGTGTGTGTGTGTGTCTGTGTGTGTGTGTGTATGTATGTATGTGTGTGTGTCTGTCTGTATGTGCCTGTGTGTGTGTCCAATAGCAGCGTGACAGGTTCCAGCACATACAGGCCACTCACAGCTCTCCATGTGTGTGTGTGTCTCTGAGTGTGTGTCTCTGAGTGTGTTTGTGTGTCTCCGAGTGTGTGTGTGTGTGTATGTGCCTGTATGTGTGTGTGTCTCTGAGTGTGTGTGTGTGTATGTGCCTGTATGTGTGTGTGTCTCTGAGTGTGTGTGTGTCTCTGTGCCTGTATGTGTGTGTGTCTCTGAGTGTGTGTGTGTGTGTGTGTGTGTATGTGCCTGTATGTGTGTGTGTGCGTCCACTACACTCCAGCTCCTCTTTTGAAAGTCAAATATTCTCTGCCGTAGGTTTTTAGGATGAACCTCTGAAACCCAGATCCACAACAAACCTCCAGAGCTGCAGGTGAAAGCTCAGATCCTACACAGAAGCTGAGCAGGGCAGGGCCTGGTTAGTGCTGTGATGGGAGACCTCTGGGAACAGCAGGTGCCACAGTGGGGCGGCTGTAAACTGTGTTTGTGTCCTTAGGCAAGACACTTCCCCCACATTAGAATGAGTCTGGTGTGTGTGTGAATGGTTGGTGGTGGTGGGAGGGGCCTCGCTTCTGTCAGTGTGCCCCAGGGCAGCTGTGGCTACAGTAGTAGTTTATCACCACCGTGTTTGGAGAGAATTATAATGACATGTGAAGCGTCTTTGAGAGTCCAGAAAAGTGCTGTATAAAAACTGTTGCATTATTATTTTTATTATTATTATCATTAAACTTGATGGAGTCAAAATATTAAGTCCATAAACTCTCGACCACAGTAAAAATACTCATCTTTATAAAATAAGCAGAAAAAGCAGTGGCTTAGAGAACGGAAATGACTCTGTGGTGGAGGTTGATTTGCTGATTAATGATTATGAAAGAAGGAAACAGGAAAAACAGCTCATATTTCATAAAACACACTAAAAAAACACTTTTAAAAGCAACTGTCGATAAACATCTGAGTCTAAACCTCACAGACACAGACACAGACAGACAGACAGAGAGACACAGACAGACAGACACAGACACACAAACAGAGACACAGACAGACACTGACACACAAACAGAGACACAGACAGACAGACACAGACACACAAACAGAGACACAGACAGACAGACACAGACACACAAACAGAGACACAGACACAGAGAGACACAGACACAGACAAACAGAGAGACACAGACACAGAGAGACACAGACGTCCTGCACCAGAGGACGTCTGTGTCTGTGTCTCTGCAAATGCACCAGAGACAGACCATAAACATGTCGAGCAGCACCATGGCTTTCTTCACCTGTGACCTCTCCTCAACCCTTCTCTAAACTCTCAATCCTCTCCTTACTCCCCTCTCCACTCTCTTCCTCTCATCACACTCTCACTCCTCTCTCCCCTCTTCTTTCACAAAGCACCAAAACACATAACTCCTGATGATTACATTATGAAACGAGACACGGGACTCTGACAATCTACTCCAGAAACAGCAAGACTTAGAGAGGAGGAGACAGAGAGGGAGACAGAGAGAGGGAGAGACAGAGAGAGGGAGAGACAGAGAGGAGACAGGGAGAGGAGGAGACAGAGAGAGGAGGAGACAGAGAGAAGGAGACAGAGAGAGGGAGAGACAGAGAGAGGGAGAGACAGAGAAGGAGACAGGGAGAGAGGAGGAGACAGAGAGAGGGGGAGACAGAGAGAGGGAGAGACAGAGAGAGGGAGAGACAGAGAGAAGGAGACAGAGCGGGAGAGACAGAGGGAGAGACAGAGAGGGAGAGACAGAGAGAAGGAGAGAGAGAGAGGGAGACAGAGAGGGGGAGACAGAGGAGGAGACGGAGAGAGGGGGAGACTGAAGTGGTGTAGTGGAAAATGACTTTTATTCAGTTTATTTCAGATCAATAACAAGAGAAAAAGTAAAATACAGAGTGGAGTTGTGGATATGACAGAGGCTCGTTGTTCAGACACTGAGGGTTCACATTTATATGGGTTTGGGGTCAGCAAGAAGTGACTGATGACATCTGTTCAATCTCTTTTCTCCTCTGGAATAAGTCAAAGAACAATAATCCTGTAAAACCAGAGTCTGAGCGCTACGTAAGTAAATAGGACGAGCGACGGTGAGGCTCTGACACAAAACAAGGTCACATGACAGGTCACATGACAGGTCACATGACCCTGGAATCTCAATAGTTTTCTGGTAAGTCAAACAAAAAGAATGATTATAGATTAGAAAACAAGTCTTCGAACACAACAGAGAATTAAAGCAGAAGAAGAAGTCTGTATCGTCTTCTGAGAAAATGTCGTAGAATAACGGGAATTAGAGGATTTAAATATAAAACAAATAAAATAGTCCATACTAAAGAAATGCTTAATGTATTTCTGGATATTTCTGAAAAAGAAGTTGCTGACGAGGGGATTTAGCGAACTAACTAATTAACTAATATACACAAACTAAAGGGGAGACCCATGGCTTGCGGCGTGGGGTTTGCATGTTCTTCCTGTGCCTCCCGCTTTTTGTAAAGTGCTTAGTGACTCTGGTCGGTGAAAGGAGACTGTAGATAAAGCCGAATTAAACTGAGAAAATAAGGACCAGAGAGAAACTTATCTTGGAACGAGATCAAATGTTGTAAAAGAATCAAACAGTTTACGCCTGATCTGTGATACTCTCGGAACCACAGTTACATCTGCAGTTACGTCCACAGTTGTGTTGTGTGTATGTATCGTTAGCAAAAAGTGTGTGTGTGTGTGTGTGTGTATGTTGTTAGCAAAGAGTGTGTGTGTGTGTGTCGTTAGCAAAGAGTGAGTGTTGTGTGTGTGTGTTGTTAGAAAAGAGTGTGTGTGTGTGTGTGTCGTTAGCAAAGAGTGTGTGTTGTGTGTGTGTGTGTATGTCCTTAGCAAAGTGTGTGTGTGTGTGTGTGTGTGTATATTGTTAGCAAAGAGTGTGTTTTGTGTGTGTGTTGTTAGCAAAGAGTGTGTGTGTGTGTGTATGTGTATGTCGCTAGCAAAAAGTGTGTGTGTGTGTGTGTGTATGTTGTTAGCAAAGAGTGTGTGTGTGTTGTGTGTGTCATTATCAAAGAGTGTGTGTCGTGTGTGTATTTTGTTAGCAAAGAGTGTGTGTGTTGTGTGTGTGTCGTTATCAAAGAGTGTGTGTGTCATGTGCTCCTGGGCTCCTCTGGTTCATGGCGTCTCTGACCGCGGAGACGATGGCGGACACCTCGGCCATGGCGCCTTTCCCTGCAGCAGAGAAACCTGTCAATCACCTGAGCTCTGTCCTGTCTCCTGCTTCATCTGTCTTCAATATGACTCCAGCTGTGGTCTGTTCATTGCTATTCACCCGCTGTCTCATTATCTGTTTAATGGTCCTGGATCTACAGCCTCAGTCCTGGATCTACAGCCTCAGTCCTGGATCTACAGCCTCAGTCCTGGGTCTACAGCCTCAGTCCTGGGTCTACAGCCTCAGTCCTGGATCTACAGCCTCAGTCCTGGATCTACAGCCTCAGTCCTGGATCTACAGCCTCAGTCCTGGATCTACAGCCTCAGTCCTGGGTCTACAGCCTCAGTCCTGGGTCTACAGCCTCAGTCCTGGATCTACAGCCTCAATCCTGGGTCTACAGCCTCAGTCCTGGGTCTACAGCCTCAGTCCTGGATCTACTGGGTCTAATAAAAGTGTGTAAATGACCCAGGGCTGGTCAAGTTAGGGAAAATCAGCCCATGGCTCAAGACCGGACTTAAGCCCCGCCTACATGCAATTCCCGCTGAAATGTTAAGTAGGCGGGGCTAAATGTCAGGTAACTCATTTCAATCTTTGGGGCGGGACATTTAGACTCAAAGGAAAGCACAGGCAGAGAAAATAACAGGGACCTAGAGCGGAGTTAAATGTAAAAAGGCCTTTATCCCCGGCACTGTCAGACTGTACGATAAGTCACTTTAAGTCACTAATGCACTAGGATTGAAAAAACCTGCACTGTTTATTTTTTATTTATTATTATTTATTATGTTTAAGGCTTTTAAGGTTATTCTAATAAAACCAAAGTGAAAAGAAGCTAGCACTGGTTAATTACTAGTGTCTCCTCTGACGAAGCCGAAGTCAAAGTCTAAGTGCTACACTGCAAAAAGTGACAAAACATGAGTTAATAAATGCTTGAGTATATTTTGACTTTCTTAAAACTAGATTAGCCGATGGAACAAGCTATTTGATTTTTTTACAAGTGCTTTTGCGACTTTTGCCTCATTTCAAGAGAGGCATTTCTGGAATTTTCTTGTATCATTTTAAAACAAGGCAT